TAAGTTAAAGTTACGTAATATACTTGACTTTTCTATTATTCTTTTAATTTGTACTTCTTCTAAAAATAAATACTAAAATTTTATTTTTGTAATGGCAATTAATTATCGTACAAATAAGACAAATATTATATACTACTTTTTTTTTGCACAATAAATTCACTCAGGTGAGCGAAAGAAATCATTAACAAAAATCTATCCATTTAATATGTACATACTTTGTATAATAAGTTTACAATTATAGACATTTGTCTATTTATAGGAAAAATATAACATTAATTTAAGATGCATTAAAAATATAGCAATTTTGGTATTTTTAAACAAAATTTTACAAAATAAAATTCACATATTTGACACAAAATAATTAAATTCTTTGAAAAAGATTTTAACTTTGAGATTGAAAAATTTTATTAATTCAAAGGGCATTATTAACTTTACAATATCTGTGACTTCAAAAATGCAGTACAAAAAGTTTTAAAACAGTTTTAATACAGTTTTACTACCGCCGCAAAGCTTTTAATACCACTGCGTTGTATTAAAAATACGAAAGCTTTTACTACCTTTTTGAACATGAATTTGACGATCTATAAACTTTTTGACGTTTAGTAATTTTCAAAAACAGTTTTCTAAAAACAATAATATTATAAAATTAATCTTTTCAGAGTAAAATTAAAAATAAATGAATAATGAATTTTTTAAATTTATTGGATTGCAATAGCTTTAATCAAAACAGCAATTTAATAGAAATTAAAAAAATTTTAAACAAAAGAAGAAAAAAGAGATGTGCTCTCCTTTGTAATATTGTAAAACCAAACAAACTAACAAGGAAAATTCCAAAAATAATAAATTTCGACCAAATTATTCAAAAATATCCTGATGACGTATTTTTCAGTCATTTTCGAATGAGTACAGCTACCTTTGAAGTAAGTGTATATTCAAACATTAACAACTAAGCATAGATTTGAATTTGTAAATACTTTTAGGTGGTATATAACATGTTAGAGCCATCATTTGTTTCAAACCAGATCGGTCGGCCAAGTTTTCCGCTGAAATATTGTTTGCTTGTTACCATATGGAAATTGGCAAACAATAATACGTTCAGAGAAGTTAGTGACCGGTTTGGAATAGCACAGGGAACAGCCTACCATATTTTTGTTAAAATAACACGATTAATCGCCAAACTGAAAGGTAAAGTTATCAAATTCCCTCGAAGTGAAGCTGCACAAAGACAAATAATTGAAGGGTTTGAAAATAGTCGCTGCCGTCCTTTGCCAAACACCATAGGATGCATTGATGGTATGCATATACGAATTAGCAAACCTATAAAAGATCCAATAAATTTTCCATTTTCAAAGAACAAATCCAAATGTAACAAAAGTTGTTGAAAACTTTCAATTAGAATATAAAAATGTAATGTCACACACAAAAATATTACTTTTGCTTTTACATAATGAACGTTACCAAAGTTTAAAAAAAAATAGCTCATTATACTAAATTTTAGAAAAAAACTGGACGGCTTACAATTTTCTGTCAAAAATTAGCTTTTGTTTATTTATTATTTAACACTGGTAACATATTTATGACATGTATATAAAATGCAGCCTAAATTTTTTCGCTACTCTCTCTGCTTTTATTTTACGTATCCACTACATTTATTTTACATTTTTGAATATGATACAACGTCAAGAGCTTTTATAATACATTTTTGAATATGATACATTGTAGCAAATACGTTTTTACTGCATTTTTGAAGTCACAATATCTTTCATATAAATATTTTAAGAAATTATGATTTTTTTCAATATTAATAATATTTTTAATATTAACCTTTAATTTAGAACTTGTTTTATTTTAATTTAATTCAATAATAATAATAATGCAATAACACTTTGAAAATATTCACCTGTACTCATTTTTAAACAAAATTCAACAATATGGCAATAAAAAATGTCATTGAAACTCAATTCAATAAATGGCAATTAAACAAAAGTTGTAAAAATTTTCATGAAAATTCCTAAAAAGTCATTTTAACCATTTATGATGCGCTAATCTTAATTTATGATTCAGTTTTTAATTTTATTTTTATTGTACAATAAATTCATCGTAATCAAAAAAATTTTTTAAATTAATTTCATTTATTTTAAGAATTTTAATTATTTATTAACAAAAATTCATATTATGGTAAAAATATATTTAATACTCAAAATATATTCTTACCATTTTAATATTCTTAACATTTCTTACTATCTCAATATTAAAAATAGTTCCCATAATTCTTTTAAGCGAATTCGTGAAATTACTTAGTCATATTTTTAATTTTGTTGCAAAAATAATAAAATTATATTATTTATATTACTTAAAAAATTAATGTATTAATTGTTGAACCCATAAAGATTTAAAGAACTAAAAAAAAAATTTTTTTTATTGATGAATTTAATTCAAAATTTAATTATTCTATAAGTTAATAAATTAAAAATTACATGAGCAGAAATTTAATATTTTTTTGTGTACTTTTTGAAAAACGAAAATACTATTTAGAAAATTAAATTTCACCTTTGAATAAGTAGCATTAAACCAATTCTAAAGTATAATTCTAATTCCAAATATATTTATTGTATTTGGGAAATTAATTCTTGCGAATTTTACTGAGGTAACTTAGTAACTAATACCCTCAAATTATGCTGTTTTTCTCAAAATATAAAATATAAGCATTGAAATTAATAGTACGAAATCAGTACCCATATTGTAGAGCTTCATATTTTACAAATCTGCTATAAATATTATCATAGGCTCAAACCGCATTATATTAGTAAACATAAATAAAAAGTCTTAAATCTATTAGTCTTAAAAACTAATTTATATAATATTGAAAATACCATAATAGTACCGTGTTATAAAATTCCGACTCTTATAAGAAAACTTTGTTTATATAATTTATTATTTAATAATTCCGACAAATTCAAAAACAAACACATGATTTTTGTCCTATTATACGGTCATTTAATTGTCATAAATATGATGATGATAAATATTACAACAATTATATTTTATCATTAATCAAATTCATCACAACAAAATTCAATTAAATACTAAATTTTAAAAAACCAAAATAAAATAAAAAATTTGAATAATTTAAACTTGTTGAAAAATTTTGGCGCTTTTCAATTTTTTAACATTTACTCGTGCTAAAACATAAGTACCTTTACATACGTCATGTACATATATGTATATATATTAGAACTATAATTATGCTACAACAGTTTAATAGTTTGGGCACGTATGAATATATAAATATATTTTTTATATAAACAAGGGCTTCCATATACAAAACTATTTCTATAATGTAATATTATAGAAAATTTGTTTTATATTACCTTGTATTGTATTATTATTTTAATTCAAATAAAATGGCTTTGCATCTAGTTAAAATGGTAAAGACCTGATAAACAACTATTTTTAAAAGCAACACCCATTTGAAATTGATTAATTTTTTAAAAGCATAAGAAACAAAAAATAAAATTAAGAAAATATATATATATGTATGTATGCAACGTCAGTATATGCATGAATCTCAATAAAATAAAGGATCCACCTCAATGTTATCATAATGAATGTTGGAATTTACATTTAAACATATAGTATACTTATATTCATACACATCATATATAAATTTGTATAATGTAATATCAAAAGAGCATTTTTTTTTAGTTCAAATAATTGAAATGAAACAATAAAACAATGAAATTGTATGGTATTTTTAAACTCAAATCAACGGAATCAACAAAAATTCAACATTTTTTTTTTAATTTTAACTAATTTTTCTAAAATGCCACTGAATTAAAGAAAAACAAAATTTGAATCTCTTACAATCTCATATTCTAGAACGGCTGCCAGATTAAGTTTTTTTATTGGTTTTTTTTTATTTTGTTTTCTATCATTTATTTCTTTTTCAGTTGAAAATAATCAATCGCATTGTACCACAAATTGAAGAAAACAAATTTGATTTTAAAAATTGAAAAGGTTTTTTAGGGGCTATCCTGGTTTTTAATCCAATATTCAATAAATTAAACGTGGGAATCAACTAGCGTGAATGCTGATTTAACAGTCACGCTAGTCGAATCATTTTAAAATTATTAATTAAAAAATCATATGTATATTAATCCAATTTAAAACAATTGTTAAAATTGATTATAAATTTTTATATTGTCTTTCATAGTTAGCTTGCCAAAATATCCTTTATATCGATTCGTCAATAAGAGAAATGAAAAAACGAAAAAGTGTCAAATGAAATCACCGTTCTAATTTCTCTTGGCAATTTATTAAAATAAAATTTGTGTTTTTTTTATTTTAATTAATTCTAAAATATTTTTAAAAATTTAATATTTTGAGTGAGTTCACGGAAAATTTACTATAATATGCAAAATGCAATCACACATATAATTCATTGTCCCAGGCATATTTTAAAATTTATAACTTTAATAACGAACTCTTTTTTTCTTGTTGTTCAGTGTGATGTTTCAAATTTTTTTCAACATTTTTCCGCAAAACTCAATTAAAATAAAATTTACGAATTTTAGCTGCAAATTTAAAATAAAATTAAACAGAGAGACATGACAGAATGATGACAAATGACATAGTTCGAAGTTGTCAACTTTTCATAAAATTCAATAAAATTATTTAAGAATAGTAAAGAATTCCTTTAATAAATGGCATAAATGTCTGTTTAGACTGCACTTAATAAATAAATGATATTGTGCTGTTTTTTATCATTCATAGACTTTCCAGTTTGAGATTCATTTTTTTTATATTATTTACAATATGAAACAATTTATTTAAAATGATTGCCCTAAAATAAATTTCAATGTGATGTCAAATTAATTGTGGACGATTTTCGTCTTCTATAATGTAGATAATTGTTTCATTCTTTTCATTTTATTTTAGTACCGACAACTAACACAAAAGTCAATTTTTACGAAAATTATTGAAATTTAACAAAAAAAAAGTTATAAAAAGAATAAAATAATTAAAAAAAACAGAGAAAGAGAAAAAAAACAAAAAGAAAGGAATATTAAAAATTCAATTTAAGTTAACAGTTTATTGTAAAGCTTTTCATATTAGTCTTCTATTTGAATCCCTTTAATAAAGATCTAGAATAATTTGCAGGTATCCGTGTTTTAAATGAAAAACTAAACAAAATTAATTAAATTTAATAGGATTTAAGTAAAATTTTATAATTTAAGTAAAATTTTTATGAATTTAAGATATAAAAAGAAATACGAAGAAAATAAAAAGTTTATTCAAATAAATTTTCTTATGATAACGTCAAATTATTAAATATTTTTTTTTTTTTATCGTCGCTTAATACTTGATTACATAGGTATTTTTACTATTATGTAATAGTCAATTACTATGTAACGTACATTTTTAATGGATAATATTTAAAAAATAAAATTAATTAAGGATAAACGGATACATTTTGGATAAAAGAAGAAAGTGACAAAAAGTGTTAAGCACATAATTTAAATTTTTAACATTATTATAAACTTTATTTGTGTTATAAAGTTCTCAGTTAATAAAAATATTTATTGAATTTATTTATGGATTATCTACTTGTTGCAATTTAATTTTTGAGATAATATAAAGTTAACAAGTAATCAGTGTTATATAATTTATGTAATAAATAATTGATTACTGCACTACAATATCAACAATTTTAATTATTTTTAAAAAAATATCAATGAAAATAAATAAATATGAAAACAATTATGGAAAATATTTTTTTTTATTTAAAATACTAATTTATTCCGCTTGAAAAATATTATATTTATTTTAATATAATTTAATAATTTTCTCATAATAATTATTTGATTAAGCATGATATTACAATTCATTTATATAATCAAATGAAAAAACATATCCGGTTGCAATACAAATCTTAAATTTTTAAATTGTTCTTTTATTGACAAGAACAATAATTTTTATTTTAATGAAGACTTTGGCTATAATAATTTTTAGATCAATATTAATTGAAATATAAATTACTCCATTAGTTTTCCTTTTTATTACCTTTAAATATCTCGGTAACGTATATAGAATATTTCCAAAATGTTGATACATAATTTAATATAATATCATAAATAAATCTCGTTACCTACTTATTTTTATATAAAAATTATTTAATGGGATTATTTAATAGTACTTTTTTATTGAATTATAGAACTAAATTTATTATGACATAAAAATTTAGGGAATTTTAAATTAATAGCAAACTATAATTTTCAAAAATTAAAAGTTAACTTTTAAAAATATTTTCATTTTCTCTTATGATTAGTGATCATCCACTAATAAATAAAAAAAATTAACTTCATCTATTAAAAAAATTTCCAAACAAATTTCCAGTATTAAAGCCTCATTATTAATTATATAACTTTCACTCAAATTTTTTTCTAAAACCAATTTTCTTGTTACATCATAATTATATCAATTTTCAGTTCAGCAAAAGTAAAGGAGCAGCATTCAATTGCAATAAAAATAAATTGATCTAATTGCTATGCCAGAGATTATTTAAATTAAAAAAAATTAAATTAAATTAAAAGAGCTAATAAAGAGGCAAAAAAAAAAATCAAAAATACATTTTCAGCCAAAACTAAAAAGAAAAAATTTATTTAATTTGCTCTTATTTTGTTGTATCTACAAAATTTGCTCTTTCTTTTTTTTCTTTTTTGTCAATTAAATTACTGTGACTAAAATCAAATTAACATCGAAAAAGAAAAAATTTATTGAGCAAATATACGCACTTTCATACACCCCCCTCTCTATTAAAAAATCTTATATATTTTAATTTTATAATATTATTATTTAATTTGTATGTAGAAGAAATACATAACATAAAATAATTTATTATGTATACGTACCGCATTATTATTTAAGATAATAATATAAATTTGTATAGGTGAAATAAAAAAATTCCTCACTCCACTTCGTTTTTAGAATGCTAAAAATAAAATATTGACTTTTTATACGTGTATTTTTTTAATTAAAATAAATTCTATTTATTTATTTCATTACAATAAAATTGCTTAGTATTTAGTTCATAATTAAAATAATAAGTAATTCTCCGGAAAAAATTTTAACAGTATATAAATTCATATATGTATATATAAAAATATACATTTTTTTCACATATTATTTCACACAAATTTTTCTATATTTATATACACATTATTTTTCTATTTTTTTTTTTAATTTTCCTTTAGAAATGGCCGATGAGGAGCCAGCATCATCCCCAGCGAAATCTGGATCAAAACCCGGTTCTAAAGCTCAAACCCCCACAGCTGGCTCAAAGACCGGATCAAAAGCAGGAACACCAGCTGCTGGATCTAAAGTAGGTACACCAACTGGTGGGTCTAAAGCAGAATCAGTAGCACCAGAGGAGGCAGCACCACCACCACCACCACAAGAAGAGAAAAGACCTATTCGATATTATAGACATTGGGTTCGGTAAGGTTTTTTTAAAATTAACCTTTTTATAATATATTATAAATTGTAAATAAATATGCATAATATATTACATAACTCATCTATTAATCATTATTAATATTATTAAAATTGTAATATGAAAAATTAATTTACTCTTTCTATTTAGGCCACAATTTTTGCAATATAAATATATGTATCAATATAGACATAATTATTATAACGATGTAATTGATTATTTGGATAAAAGGGACAAGGGAATTAATAGACCAGTACCAAAAGCACAAACATGGGCTGAACGTGTTCTTCGCACAAATGCGGAAAGGTAAGATTAGTTTCTTGTTGCTTTTTTTATGTTATTACTATATTTTAAATATTCTTTTACTATACGTTACCATTTCGTATACATTATTTTTCTAAATATTAAAAAACAAATTTTATGTTACACTTTTCTTTTTGTATTTCATGTTTTAATGTTGATTGTTATGAATAATAATAAACCTATTATATATTGTGCACACGATTGTAGAAGATACGTTTATTTTGATCAACCCCCACAAGTTGTTGCGAATCCGAAATATTGGGGTCCGTCAATACCATCAAGGTACTGGGACTATTACTGTAATAATTTACAATATTGGCACTATTACTATTAAGAAAATGCTATGAACTTAAACATTAATTTTTTTTTTGTTAATAACCACATTATTTTGATGCATTTATTGTATATTTTAAGAATTAAATTTGTAACATGAAAAAATTTTGTTTAATTATTTCAAAATTTCGAATTTGTTTTTTGTTTTGTAAAAAGGATTGAACGCGAAAATTTCGATAAAATAGAAATTATATTTTTGTAATTATGGTAATGATAAAAAATAATTCGTAATTTTTAAATAATTCCAACACTTTTTATAAATTTTAAAATTGTGCTTGTTTTTACACAAATTTGTATTCTAGTCAGGTTGGAAAGATATTTATGTACATAAATAGGTACACAGTTATACAAACATATGATTATTAAATTACATTATGAAGGTAAAGTTGAAAACACAAAATAACACATAAAAGTAAGAAAATATTCATGTTTTTTTTTTAAATTTATAATCTTCTAGGATTTTAGAAAAATATTCATGTTTTATTAACATTTAATGTGGAAAAAAAACTTTGTCGTCCATTCATTTATGTTTGGCCAAAAATATAACGGATCTATACATACATTCAAACACAAGTTCTCGTAATAAAATTTTAAAATTTCTTGGAACAATACTGATCGATTTGAATCCTTTGTAATGCAGCATTTGATTTAAATTTATTTTTTATTTTAACTGTGATTGCAAATTTTCCTTACCTTTTCAAAATTTAAAATTCCTGTTTTTGAAAATAGAATTCAAACTGTTCATTCTCACTTAATTTCAATCAATTGTTTTTTTACATAAAAAATTGATTAATAACACAAAATTTTCTTTTAGAAAATTACGTCAAAAATTATTATTCTCCATTAATTTTATTTTAAATTCAAAAATTTACGATATAAATATTGAATTTTTTTTTCAATTATAAAATTATTTTGACAAGACCACCTTAAAAATCGTATTGCCACCACATTAGAAAAATTTTGATTGACAATGACATTTTTTGAAAAAGGTGTTACCGTAGGTAACATTTTAAAGTAAAAAAAAATTTTAGTACTAAATTAAAGTTTTAGGAAAAAAATTATTTTTTTTATTTTTTATGAATAATTTTATTTATATATCTGCTTATACAATAAAATTTTAATAAAAATATTAATCTTGAAAGTCTATTAAAATTAAAAATTTTATGACAGAATATTGGATAGTAAATTGTCTACTGAAACACTTTACGGTACTTGCTCTAATTATTTCATATTCTCATATTTGTAAAAACATTTTCATTCCTTTATAATTTTTCATTTTTTCAAAATTAAGAATTTTATATATAAATTTTTTTTCATAATATATTTTTTACCAAAAACCAGTTTGAATAAAAATGGTATAGAAAAATATTTATACACCACTATCACTTTAATTTACGTGTAAATATGACCTACACATTGATAGGTACATTTCACTAAAAAAAAACAAATGTACTCTACGTAAAATCTTATTTGGTACTTAGAATAAAATGAAAGTGAAATGTAAAATTCTTATTACACTTATGAAACTGCAACATGTTAATTCAATCCGTTTTATTCATTTTTTTTTAAATTAAATTTATAATTTATACAAACGGCGATATAAGAAATTTGAAGAAAATATCTACAAATCTCATATATACTGATATTTGAAATCTAAATGTCTGAATATTTTATAATTCTTACTAAAATTTTATTAGTAAAAGTTAAAAATTTATTAATAAAAGTTTAATATAAAATTTAAAACTCAAATTTCTGATGTATTTGTGTTCTTTCAAAAATTTCAAGAATAAAAATATAAATGTAATAAAAGATAATTAAAATATATGTATAATAATTTATATATTTGTGAAGTTTCGTAGCTTAAATTACATTATGCTGTATATAAATTTACTCTGCAATGGCACAAGTATCACAATTCCACATAATTAATCATATAATAATATACAAAGGGCAAATTTTTTTAAAACAGATGCATTCTAATACATTTTGTTACCCACATGTATGTATGTATATAGCTATATAATAAAAATTATAAAATAATGTTTCCTTTTAAATTCATCCAATATTATTATTGCATAACTATGGGAGGCAATATTAATTTTTAAAACTTTTTAAGATGTTTACATTATAACTAAAATTTATTATTTTTTATTGTGTTATAGCGGGCGACTTTCACCCATAGATGATTATCATCCTAAAGGAGAGCCACATTTAATAATAACACTTCCAGCGGTTATTAAAGCTCACAATTATCATACAAAATCTTACATTAATCAAAGATATCAAAGAGTTTTGTAAAAAGAAAATGTAAAACCACACTATGATAAATGAATAATATTGAAAAACAAAATTAAAACCATAATTGATTTTATCAAAAATTAAAAAATTTATATTAAATAAAAATTATTAAATAAAAACTTTAATATATAATTTTTATTTTGGAAAAAAAAATAACAATCTAAAAATAAACAACTTAAGTAAATCACTGAAGATCACAAAATGTTACCATAATAGATAAAGATCCTTGGAACGCAACAAAATTAATGGTACGCAATCAATATTCAGAAATTCAAAAGAAAAAAAAAGAAATAAATATTTATAATTAAAAAAAAATATTTATTATGGAACCGCTTATAAAAAATAATTCACTTTTTTTTTGCCAATTTTTTTAGTTTATTTTAATAAAGTTTTTTTTTAATTGATTTTTTTATTTTTATTAGAAAACTGATTTCAATTTCTATTTAATTAAAATATTGTTGTTTTGGAAAACTATATATATATATATATATAAATTAAAACATATTATATACATATATATATTTAAGTGCATATTTATTATGAATATATATATATATAGGAATAAAGAATATAAATTAGGTAAATGTATATATACTAACCGTATAAATTTATATGTATGCAGAAAATATCATGATTCTTTTTAATTATTCTAAGTGAAAATATTGAAACAAATTTTATATAAAACAAAGAACATAAAACTAATATAATATATATATATATATATATATATATATACGTATATATATACATATATAAGTGTAAGAAATGTACATAAAACAATGACCAATAAATAAATTTTATTGTGTTGTAACATGCATTTTATTTAATTTTAGCCTTCGTCTAAATTCGTCTTCGTAACTTCCACCTATTGCCTTCGTAACTCTTACATCTAACATGTTACATGGATGTTACATTAATTTAATTGAAAATTAATGTACAAACATACGTACTAATATGAATAATTGTCACAAAACAAATATTTGATTAATCGAAATGTTTCAAACAATTTTCAACTCTGAATTGTAGCTATTGAGCAAATAAAATAAATTTAAATTTGATCTCCACACTGCATTCTTTGGGGAAATTTTATGAATCGAATAGGTACAATTAAATTTTTTACTTTCTCATATTAATTAAATAAAATTTTAAATACATATTTTTTGTTTCGCCTGAATGTACGCAATAATTTACAAAATGAATACTTAGCGATAACCGTACGAATGTTTACTAAGAGTTTATGAGATACATTGGACAAATCCAGATTAAATGTTGGTTCTTTTAGTAAACTTGTTTTAGTAAAAAATCGAAATTTTACAGCAATACGGACCCTGATTTTAAACTCATGTAAACCAATACTCTACCATATTTATGATAACAAGTTTGGTTAGTCTAGTGGCTAGACTCTAGCCAAATGCTTTTAAGATTATTATATGGATGTGACACTTGGACAGACAGATGAAGAGGCTTAAAAAAAACGACCCAGAACTCAAAACTGATCTAAAACAGGTATAAATATATACATTTATATTATGTCAAAGAATATACATACATAGAAAAATTTTGTGCAAAACTATATATCAATATAAGAATATACATACATAGTTTTGCGCAAAAGAAACGGAAAGTTTTACAAAATACAGGTTTGTTATATGTACTAGTGTATACGGGGTGTTTCGCATAAGGTGGCAAGTAATTTCAGTTATGATTCTTTCATCACTTTCCAGCAAAAAATTCTACGGGTGCAGATATACTCGTTTTCGAGCTACAGCCTGTTGAGAAAAACAAGTACCGGACTTTTCCTGCATATAAATAAATACTTACAGCATCGGTACCATACAACATAGAGTTATCATTAAGAGCTTGTTTGACATAATTTTCAAAATTAATTCCCATAATTTTCGAAATTGAAGGTCAGAATTTTTCGTTGCTCGAAAACTATGTCAGTCGCTCGTCAAAGTCAGAATTTTTGTTTTTTTTTTTTTAAATTTTTTTTACAAAACTCGAAATTTCTCCAAAATTTTTATATATTTTTTTCTTGTGAAAAATACGCTATATTTGTTTTTATAAACAAATTTTGCTAGCCCTCAATACTACTAATTGCAAAAAAGAAGTTTTTCCTTGATATTAAAGAATTTTAACTTTAAGTGATAAATAAACGTCATATAGTTAATTCAGGTTGTTAATTTTTAACTGTTAAGCGTATTTTTAACAAAAGAAAAACCAAAAATGACAAATTTATTGCAAATCCAACTCAGTAAAAAATACACTCAATTGTAGTCAACAAACCTTTATTGGCATTCTTTTTTCCTCTTACACAATTTCGTTACATAAATATTTTGCTTAGCTTTCACATAATTGTGTTCAGAGAAAGTTTTACACGTTTTGTTCTTTTTGTTTGTAATATATATATATATATTTTTTTGGTTTATAATTTAGAATTAGATATCAACAATAATCATTACAATATTTTTTTTTAATTATAATAATATATAAAAAGAGACACAGAAGAAAACTTAACTATATATTTTTAAAATAAAATAAATTTAAATAAAAAAAATAAATAATTTTTTAATGTACAAAATTTGTGTTTTGTTTCATACTCATTATATAATTTGTTTTTTTTGTTATAATTTATAATAGAAGGTGTTGTTTAAAGATCATTAATTTTTCTCTTATATTGATAATTAATTTTATATGAGATTATAATAGTACGTTTGTGTTAATAAAACAGTGAGCACTCAAATTACAACTTAATTGTGCGATAAGTGTTATTTGGGTTCTCTCTGTTCGATGTTCTATCATAATAAATACATATTACAATCTTTTCTTTTTTTTTTAATGTTTTGGAATTTTTTGATGTTAACTCAACAAATTTTAAATTAATTTTACATTTTTATGACGGTAGATTTTAATCGTCGAAGCATACAATTATTTCTTTTTAATTCTATTTAAAATCTACATAATTAATTCAGATTTTTCATTTTAATTAAAAACCTAGGAAATTTTTATATTTGTGCAAAAATTTTACATAAAGGACTAAAACATATTTTTTTTTCTTTTTTTTTTGTATTCTATAATGACAATGATGATGACACTTTTGTTTTGGTGCTTTTTTATTTATTTTAAAAATATTTGGAAAATAATTTTAAAATATTTTCAGTATTGATCAATGGTCGACAAAAAAAGAAAAATACGATAAAATATTGCATATTAAGTAAATAAGAATTACTACAGGATTTGAACAATCTCTCTCTCAGGTAAATATTGTTTATAAATTTATTTTATTATTTAAAATTAAAAGAAAATTATGTTTCTTTTTTTATTTAATTCGTTTTGATATATTTGTTTTTATGTTTTTTATGCTTTTTTTTATTATTGTTTTAGAAAGAAATTGCTTCCTTTTTAATAGATTCAATATCATTTTCAGCCATAAAATTTCTTAAACGTGCTGAACGTGCTTCATGATTATGAAGTTTTTCTTGTCTGTTCATAATATCCGTTTCAAGATTAGCTAAACGGGTTTTAGTTTCTTGAGCTCGTTTTGCAGCTGCTGATGATGTTGCTGATTCATCGCTTGTAATTACAGTTTTACGGAAACTTTGTAAAACTGAACGTCTTGTTGAATCGAGTTCTCCAGATTCATCGCCTAATCTATCAATTAACTGAAAAATAAATGAAATATTCCATTATATTATATTCATATGTAAAAATTAGAATAATGTTAAAAAAAGAATAAAAGTTGTATAATATACCTTTCTAGTTCTGCTCTTGAATTCTGGTTCGAATTCGGAATCAACATCAGCAATTCCGGAGACCAACTACAATCAATAAAAAGTTGAAAAATTTTAAATTTAAACTCAAATTTCAAATTGAAAAAATAATGCAAAAATATTAAAACATTAACAAATATTAAAACATTTTAGTAACGCTCAATGTTAAATTTGAAAAAAATTTAAAGAATTAAATTTATTTCTATTTTAAAATCTATATATATTATATATATATATATATTTACCTTAATGCCACGTGATTTAATGCCATAGTCTTCTTCGCCACTCTTATTGATTTGCATTAATTTTTCACCCAAATCTATATTTGCTCTACGTTTGATTGTACTGAATGAATCATCTAAATCCAAATCATCGATTAATGATCTCATGTTTTGTCTGTTAGCACGAATACGGCTAAGGGAAGACTGGATCTGGATATATTAATTTAAATATTGTAGGAAATAACAAAAAATTTAAAGTGATAAGAAAAAAGTAATTAAAGCTTTTTATTTAATTAATTTTTCCTCAAGAAAAAAAAATTAATTTCAATTTCGATAATATAAACAATCTGTTATATTTACATAGCCTTAATTACTTTTGTTATCACTTATTGAATTTAAATTACTTTTACTAATATTCAATTAATATTTAAATTCTTTATTAATTTTTTATTAACAAACGCAGGATTTTCACACAGAAATTAATCAATATATTATATGAAATAAAAACTTGAACTTACTTCTTCTCCTAATTCTTCACCGTCAAGGTATGCGGATGCATTAGCAATGGCACGCTGTTGAGAGCGTCCAACAATATGACCCCTTGAATCGAATAATGATGGTTCTTCTGTGATAGCACGATGAGCTCTAGATCTAGCATCTTGTAATTCTGCATCTAAATTACTATCAAGATCAAATTTTATACGTGATGGTGTATGTGTAGAAGACACTGCTGGTGATGAAGTTCTAAAATTAAATTTTTAAAAACATTGTTCTAATATCATGGGTTTTTTTCACGGATAACAAAAATTTTTTCTTAATTTTTCATTTTTAATTTCTTTTTCTGTTCATTTGTTTTTTGATTAACAATGTTTTTAGTAAGGATTTATTTTATAATTGTAATATAAGTATTACATAAGACAAAAAGAGGTTGAGGAGTCATATAATATATAAATGTAATAGGATAAGTAATTAAACGGAAGAAATAATAAGAAAACTACATTTATAACATTACACACATAAAAAAATTTAATTTATTAAAATCATAACAGAAACGTCTCATAACCTCCAAAACTTTTCTATATTTATTTTTACTTTCACACGATTATACTAAATTACTTTATTAATTCCTTAATCTTTCAATAAAAGTTTTTACAAAAACGAAACACAAATTCTATATAAAAAAAAGATTTCATACAAATTAACCAAAATGAAATATTCTTAACGAATAATAAATTTAATACAAAATAATTTTTACATTAATCAATATTATTATAAGTTTTTGTTTAAAAATTGAAAAAAAAATGTTACAAGGCCATTAAAAACAAAAGTTTTTTGCATTCAAAAATAATTTATTTTTCTTAAAATTGAAATTTTCAAATAAATTAAGATTATATGCAGACCTTGGAATTAACAAAATAATCTGTGCTAATACACTAAAGAGCATTTATCAAAACTTGAACACGTATTGCACATATACGTACATTATATATGCATCCTCACCTCTATTGTATTTATGTATTTATAAATATTATGTGTTGTTATAACAATTAAAATTAATTTTTTTTTTAAATTCAAATTTTCATTTTAATTTTATACCCAATTATTTCTTATGTTTTTAATTTTTAGAACAATTCAATTTTTGTTAATCATTCAAGTACAATACAATGTTAATTTACAAAATATTAGTTTTTAAAATTTTTTATTAAATTTTTTTAATACAAATCTTTTCTCACCTTTCGAATAATTATAATTTATAATTTAGTATATCTAATTTAATTATTTTATTAATATTTGAATTTTATTTCAAGTAAATTAGAAATTAAATTTAAAAATATCAATTTTCAGAGTTCTATATTAAAAACAAAAATGTGAAATGATCCTACAGTAAAAAATTTTATCAATAGTCGTAAAAACATTTTAGATAAGAATAAATAAGTTAATTAAATAATGGGAAATTAATCTATTTGAAAGTCATTCTGAATCTGTCTACTGAAAAACATTTATTTGCAAAAAATTCCCATGTGAGTAAATAACAAAATAACGTAACAAAATAACGTAAAGTAAAAATAGTTTACTTTCACACATTGGACATATTTAGAAATTTTGGCTCTAACTTTTCAAAAGTAAGACTATTATTGAACAATTAATAAAGTAGAATATTATTTTTTTAATAAATAAAAATTTGATGGTCGCTATGCATGAGGGATACATGGTACAGGGGTACAAAACTAATAATTAATTAAATTTCAAATTTTAGTAATTTATCTAAAAGTATTTTTCTTTGTCAGTACATACTACTAAGATATAATAAAAGTTTTAAAAGAAAAGTAAAGGTAAGATTTGGATTTTTAATATCCTTGGAATGGGAATTATAGAAATACTGCACAATTCCAACGTATAACACCGTCCGGTATTTAAATAAAAATTGTTATACTTATTAAATATGCATGTTGGTATATGAAAAATGAAATTTTAATAAAGCGATACTCAGCTTTTTTGTTTTTTTTTTTTATTTTTATTTTTCTCAATATTATAAATTTATATTTTCTACTGTTGTTTTATTTTTACAATATTGTATTTTTAAAATTCTTATATAATTTGTAATATATATGCAAATAGCAAAACAATACATTTCATAAGCAAAGCATTTCTATTTCAATTTTCTAAATATGGTCGAAAAACAAAAAAAAAAAAAAATTTTTAATTTTGTATTTTCATTCATTCTAATATTAACTGTCTACTCTAAATACACGTTACTAGAAATCTAATTATTTTATTTTATTTAATTATACAAAAACAAAAAATAAAATTGTTGGTTTTTGTTGTGTTTTTAATGTCATGCATATTGCAATTTGTATATTAATTTAATTACTGTTTTGTATTTATATATATATATATGTAAATATTTCGTTATAATATTATATTTTAATAATAATATCTGTGTTATCCTGGTTCAAAGGATCACAATTTAAATCAATCCAGCAATGAGACTGTGCATTTTTGATCTAGCATTTTGTACTCTGGCATCGTTGCCAAATAAAGATTTATATGTAAAGCTAGAACCATAAAATAATCATAACAAAAAAAAATAGTTGGGGATAAAAATGAAGGGAAAAAACATTCAAAAAAAAAAAATATTTACAATAAAACGAAAAAACAAAAAAAAAACCTTTTGGGTTTATTTTTTCGGTTTTTCTACTTTTTTGTTTTTCTTTTGTGTATTCTTACCTGCCTAAGCGCCTTTTATCTAAGTCATCTAAAGCTGGCTTGTAATAACTTTCGCCGGCTCTGTAGGCAGCATCATAGAGACGAGTTCTTCTTGGGCGGTTGAAACGTGAAGACATTTTTTTAAATTATATGTGTGCTATAATAAAATTAAAATTGAAAAAATTCCAAATGAATAAGAAGTTAAAAATTAAAACATTAAAAATTTTTATATTCAATTTTTTATAAAGCTACATGAGATATTTGCCTTTTGTCATAGTTCTAAATATAAATTAGAATGTCAAATTAAAAGATTCATTGACTTATTTTATTAAATTTTTTAATTTTCGTCAAATTTATACACATTTATACATGTATTTTAGCATACACGCACATTCAAATATAAAATGTTTATGAATTTTATTTTGAACTTGAAAGTATATTATGTATACATAAGTGTTATATTTGTTTAATAATAAATATTTATATCTTTTACATACATACATAAAATAAATAAAATTTTCGAAATAAGAATATAATTCCTAATACACTAAATGGGTTTTACGTAATGAATTCTAAATTTTTAAAAACTTGTACCTATATGACATATACGTAATTTAACGTATTCTAAAAACGACATTTGATATTTTATTAGAAAAAACTTCTATTACAAAAATCATTACTGTTTAATAATAGCAGAAGGATATAAGCGTTGCTATCAAGTCGACAGCAAAAATTCGACAATTTTTTTTATACATTACTCGTAATATTTATATGGTTATGCATGTAAATTTCAACGACCCTTATATCAAATTATTTCTGTTATATAAAAAATAATGTCAACAATGACAGAAAAATCAGTAAAAGTTCGCTATGCCCGCAAAAAGTTTTTGAAATGAAGAATTACTTTAATTATTGCATTCAATTTAATATTCATTTCAAAAGAGGTTTTTTTATTAAATTTAAAAATTAAGTACAGATTTGTAAATTTCATTAAATTAAACTTTTTATTATTAAATGCCAAATTTTATTCATTTAAATTTCTATAATTTTATTATAATATTTTAATTTATATGTCATTCTTTGTTTATGAAAGACAAAATTAATTCGTTAATATTTCTTTTCTATTTATTATTAAAACTGTCAAAAAACCAACAAATGTCATTTCTTAAATTTATGGTTCATTATTCTTAAAGCGCAGAGAGGAAAAAAAAAAAATCAAAATCATAAATCATCCTGAAATATGTAAGTATTTTTGAAACTTTCAGTTATTAGAATAGTGATGACATTTCCTGACAAATTTAGATTGAACTTGTTTTAAATTAATTCAGGTTAATAGTTAAAATTATAGTCTTAAAAATACAAAAATTCCAAAAAATAAATTTTATAATATAATGTGTTCAATTTACTTTTATATAATATGATAAAATATTTTAAATCTTGATCTAACTTAACAAAAACCAAAAAAAGAACTCCAGTTCTTTCAAAAATAGAACTTGTTTTTTAAATAATACAAAAATATACAAAAAAGAAATTACTAAGACTTATTGTATCCGTTCTATCTATCTAATCTTATTTTGTTAAAATATAAAAAAAAACTCATATTTTTTATGGCACCTATACAGTAAAAATGTTATGAAAGAAATAATTTTAATTTCATTTTTTAAAAACAATACATATACATAATTATATGAATATATGTAAATATATATGTATATTTTTTGTAATATTTTACTTAAATAAGAGACATTTAAGAAACACATTCACAATGGCTTTCTTGTTTTTTTCAAAAAATCATATTCTCGAGAAATAATATAAATAAAAGACAATGAAAAAAAAATTAAAATAAAGTTTTCAACCACAAAACAAAAAAAAGAATAATATCGTTGAAAACGTTGGCCAAAAGCGTGGGTGAATATTGTTACCTCAAGAAAATAAAAAAAAAAATTCCCAAAATGCTGCTGCTTATTTCTTTTCAAAAATTCTATTTTTATGTTCCATATAACAAGCGTGTATAAATGATATTTTACATGCATATTATATATACATAAACATACGCGTATATATTATAATACAAATAGGAATACACCGTAAAAAGGATAGCGAATTTTAAATTCAAACTACTAATACAATGATATTATATGTATGTACATTTATATAAGTATATATAGTATTAATATCTACGCACAATATTAAATGAAGATAATAGGTCTGAAAAATTTTGAAAATCTAAAATGAAAAAAAGAAGAAAACTTTTTTTAAGTAAATTAACCTGACGAAAATTGACATTCGTCAGCTACTTTACAAAAATAACATTAAATAATAATAATATGAAAATTATTGTAATTGCAACCTATTTCTTTATTATGCCAATTATTTCTAATCCGGTCAATATTTACAAAAAAAAATTTATGTTTGTATTACTATATATATTTACACTAATTAGAAATTTTATATATATATGTGTCTACAGGTTTCTTACTTATTTTGAGTTTAAATTGCAATTTTTAAAAAAAGTTTCCAATTACATAATTTCTTCAAAAAACAAATTCTTATAATTAAAAAAAAAATTAAATATAAAAATTGGGATTGTCATTGATGACTGTTATGTAGCACTACTATCGCAATTAATTAAATTTATGAAATTCACAATGGCGTTTCTTCAAAAATTTTCTATATATTATGCTTATGCACGTATTATGCACAATGGTAGTTGTAGCATTTGTGACTCGTAAAAAAAAAGTTAAATTGTACCAGAATTATTTTCATATGAAAGGTTTTCCTTTCACAAAATAAAATTTCAAATAAAACTTTTTTGGAATTTTTAAACACTAATATAAGGTTTAGTTAATGTCAAGTCATTATTTAATTGCAATTATTGACATTATATTTGACATATTTAAAATTTGACATTCGTTTAGCACTTGATTAATTCAATATGAAATTAAAGACTTGTAGAATAATTTTTGTAATCTCAATGGATATTTAAACATAAAAGGAGATAACTATAAATATTTATATTGATAACATTAAAAAGGGAAAATGAAAATTTAAATGAAAAACTTGTTAATTTCGTTATTTTATCGACATTTCTATATTTAAAAACAATTTATATTTATTTAATGATAAATATTTTAACTTTTCTCTCTTAACATATTACAGAATCATTTTAAAATTTAAAAACATGTACACACAAACTTATATATACATGCAATTTCATAAAATATGATTATTTTGATAGTGTTATACATTGTACATACTGGGAAAGTCAATAAACTTTTTGAGTTACCTTTAACTTTCTCAAATTTTCAATATTCTTTGTAATACAAATTCATAAATTATTTTTTTGTTTAATATTTTAATATCTTCCAAAGAAAAATTAATTACCAATAATATGTAAAATTTTAGCAATAATATTTTTGCATTAATATGTTAATGTAGATATGTATGTAGATACATATATAGCTTTTTTATTAATAAAATTTCCGCCTCATAAATGTTAAAGATCTTATTTAAAATAATTTCAAATTGAAAATTTTCCAATATATATTAAATTTTTATAATAATTTGTTTATGCATTATTGGAAAGTACATATATGAAAAAAAATATTTTCTTTTAAAATTTAAAAATGTTTAAATTTATTGCCAAGGTTATATGAAACAAAAATATTAAAAATAAATTAAAAGCAAAAAAAAACAAAAACTAGCTATAAAAAAAATAAATTAAAAATTACCATATTATTTACAAATTTGTAAATATTTATAAAACTATAAATTTGGAAGCACACTGAAATCATTTGTAAACAATAAAAACTTTATTTTTAAAAATATTTTTTTAATAAAATTTGCAATATCGAAAAATTTAAAATATATTTTAAAATTTTATGGATTATTGAATCAGTTATTGTTCAAATTTTAAAATTTCATACCTTATTAAAAATGCTATGATTATGTGCATTTAAAATTATTCAACAATATTAAAATTATACAAATTATATAATATTATTTCAAAGGACAGCATTTTCTATAATTATTATATAGGAAAACTACAAAATAATTTACTCTATCATTGCATTGATTAAATTTTAATTTTATGAGTAAACGAGAGTTAAATAATGCATACATATATGTACATACATTACGAGTACAATAAAAATAATATTTTCGAAACCCTGAACTAAAAAAAAAAATTAAATGGAAATTTTTATATGCTAAATCTAATAGTCATGCATCATGCGTTAAAATAACAAAAGAATTAGATTTGAAATTACCGTTTATTATCTAACATGAACTTGAAATCTTAGATAATCTTAATGTTTATTCAAATTTTATTTTTATGAAAATGCATTTCAAAAATTACAATTATAATTAATTACAACATAAATTTCTAGTTTTATTAAATTTTTTTTAATTATATATATGCATATATTTAATTTCTTTTATAATAACATTAAGAATTTATAATTTTTTTGTTTATTTTATCAAATGAATTTAATTAAGTGTATATTCTAAAAAAAAAATTTGCAAAAATTATTATATTTTTTTCTCATCATAGATACTTATTTATTATAAGTATAAGAAATTCTTAAAATTTTCTGTAAATTAGAATAAGATTTTGTAGTATAAAGCGTAAAATAACAGCAAAAAATTTTCTTTCTACACCCTATAATTAGGTCAATGGTATGCTTAATATGTACAATGTGCCAAATATTAAATTTAAAACAAAATCATAAAAATATTTTAATTAAAATTTATTTTGTTGCTATTTTATTTATTCAAAATATCAAGATATAAGTAAATTACTAAGCATTAAAAGTCTATATTTAATACGAAAATAAATTATAATATTTTAAGTATCAATATTCTTATATACACATAATTATATTTGATATTTTATAATTTCGATCAAATCTCTTTAATTTTTGAAAATTAATTAAATAATTTTACCAGGTGAATTTAGAAAATTATTGTGAAAAACCAAAATAGTTTTCATTCTATTAAACTTTGTATACAGTTTTTATTTTAGAAAATAATTGAAAGATATATAAATTAGATGATTCGTATTATTTTTAAAAAGAATTCTACTATAAATATATGCATTAAACTATAAAGTAGCTCATTAAATGAACCTACACAATTAAATAGTATATATGTACATTATAACGGGTATATTTTTTAACCATTTAGTTTTTAAAATTAAAGAAAAAATTAAAACAAAACTTGATTATTAAATAAAATTTAATATTAAGACATTTCTTGCATATTTTGACAGGAATAATTTCATACTTAATATTTTCCAAAGTTGCAAGTACTTCTAAATATAAACAAGACATATAAATATCTTGTTTATTTCATAAATGTCAAATAGTAAAATGCAAGACACCAATATTGAGTAAGCCAACACTTAAATTGAATAGCTCACACCAAAATCAATTATAATTAATTATTGATAAACATTAATAATTTGTATCTGTCCACAGTAGCAAGCAAACCTAAATCGATTTGACATTAACAACAAAATAATATTGCTAGCTACGAATGTGAATAGAGAAAATTATAAAAACAAACAGAAACAAAAATCACCCTTTATTTTATTTGAATAGTAAAAAAAATTTTATATATCAGAGAAATAAATTTTTATATTTTATTTAATATTTCGTAAATTTGATGTTTTTATTATAGTTCTAAGTATTTATATTATACAAAAGTCCATAATCCAATGGAATTAATTCTGATATTTTAACTTTTCTTTATATTAATCATTTATTGAAAATCCATGTATAATAAATTAAATACAAATATTTTTCAGTATTGTTGATTCGTCCCATACGAACCATGCCTTATCAATTACATAATCAATATAAAAATTTAATGTATATAAGTATTATTTAAAACCTAAGGCTCGCCATTTAAATCAGATGATTGTAAAATGAAAAACTTTTGTTGAAAAAACATAAATAATATTATGTATTATGTAAAAATATTGTGTAAAAAAATATTAAATATAAATTTAAATATTTTTTTTTCGATAAATCCATATAATCCATATTATTATAAAACGATAAATTTTTAATGATGACCTTGGACTACAATAATATTATGTACAATATTTTTCGGAAGAAAATTTTTCTCTTTACATATACTTGAATAAAAATACTCACATATTTTATTTCTAAAGAAGTTCTAAGAAGTTGAAAAATACTACAATATATCCCATATATACATATATAAATACATATATATTCAACAGGTTACCACCTGCTCTTAATCCTCTCCCAAAAGTAAAAAAATATTATAATCTTTCTAGCACATAATTTTCTATCCAGTTATTTGTAAACATAATCTCTTTTAGAACTAATACATTAACATAAAAATAATCTTAATGCATATACATACAATATAATAATATATTTATCATACATAATTATTGATAAGTATATAATTATAATCTTTGTATATGAAAATAAATTATTATGTATAAAATTTAAAAATAAAATATTGAAAATTTACATTTATCACACCACAATGTTGAAAACATAATTTGAGAAATAAAAAAATATTTCTTTCTCCCTGTATACAATAATGACAATTTAATGATCGAGCAACTGAGCAATAATAATAATAATATAAATACGAGATACATGTGTGTTATGTTTCTAAATTATTTTTAGAAATTAAGAAAATTAAAACAAAAAAAAATATAAAATAAATTTTTGAAAAAAACTAAATAAAAAAAAATTACTAAATGTATAAATAAAAATTTTATGTGAAAATATTTTTTTTTTATTTTTTTTTTATTATTATAAATGAAAAGTGTCAAAGTTTTTAACCAAATATTCTCTTTTACTCATTTTATTTATTTTCTGCGAGAAAACATTCTTACTTTTTTCAAAAAAAAAAATATAGCACTTACAATATATATATACTTTAACAAATGTATGCATAATATATATGTATATGTAACAATAGATGTACATGAGTATGAAAAATTTTACAGTATATTTTTTATACCTTACACACATTAATTAATTTGTTATTAGTTTGTAATATTATAAATTTCTAGTAATAAATCTAATAAAAATACATAAATACACATTTCGTATGTATGCAAGTATATGCCATCAAAACATTATTTACTACCTGTTTACTTATTTATGTCTAAATACCTTTTGTCAATAAATTAATTTTTGAAATTAATAAATTATAATAAATTTTTTGGTGTAGTTTTAGGTAGGAAGCATTTGAAAAGTTCAAATGACATAAAATTTTTGTGAAATCGCATTAATAAAAATTTAATTTATATATACACCTAATATTTATTGCACATATAAAATTTTAATATAATTTTATAATCTTCAATGGGTTGTTAATTATTTTCTAATATAACAAATATGTTCATAAGTATGATGGTTTTCCTTTTGACATATTTTTAAATTTTTTCCATTAATTTTTCATAATCAAAATTTCGAAATAAACAAGCTGTTTTTGAATATAATACAGACACCCCCTTACTTTAAATTACAATTTTCTTAAATATAAAAGAATGAGCTTCATATGTCAAACAGCCTAGAACTATATAAAACATAAAATATAAAAGTGAATAGCATTTACATTTTCCAAAATTTTCTACCAATTGGTGTATTTATTCAGACCGTTTAAGTTCTACTAACATCCACCACACATTTATATTTTTATGAAATAAGGAAAAATTCACTAAAATTTTGGAAATTGATTTGAATTCAGCATGGAAAGCCGTTAGTATATTGAAGTTTAAATGCTCCTTTTTTACACATGTAACCTTTGTTTATTATTAAAGCTTACGCCTTAATTGAAATGTCTTTAGCAGAATATTAAATGTCAAAATACGAACAATAAATTAAATCATATTGTATGAAAAATATCATACAACTAGCACAAGAGGTTCATATTTTGAGGTATAAGGTAAAATAAGTTCCACGCTTGGAATATTTGCATACTAATTTAACACAAAATGCCATAATCTGCTGAAAAAGTGACAGGTAATATATTTTTTTAATTTTATTTATATTCTTATGAAAACAGAATTTATTTTATAGAAAAATAGGTATTAGGTGAAAAAATATACCCGGGAGGTGCATAGAACAAATGTCGTATTTTATTTTTTACTCATATGAGTACACCATGATGCACTTCTTTTCTAAAAATAAAAACAAGGAATTAAAATCTTTAAATTCTTTGGCTATCTACGTATAATTAGTACAGAGACAAATAAAATTATATATGAAAAGTGGTTATAAGTTTTTGTATACTTTTATGAAAATGAGATCATGAAAAATAACTTCAAAAGAATGAAAATAAAGTGCGAAACACAAAAAAAAAATTATATGTCATGTTAACCGTTTATTTGTATTTATTTATTTATTTATTTATTTATACATACGGGGATGTATGTATGTGTGTATTTTTTTCAGAAACAACTAAAATATAATATTATTAACGTTGAAATTTTATTGAGTGGGATAAATTATTTTAAAATAAATAATAAATTATTTTCAAGAAAAATATATTTTCGTATATAAAATATTTTAAAAGTTCATATTATTAAAAAAATTTTAAAATTGAGGTGTTTTAGTTTAATTTTCTAAAATATTTTAAATTTTTATTAGATTACAAGACGGTAGCTGTATATTTCAATAATTAAATATTGGATTTATGCCGAATTTTAAAATTTTTAAATAGTCATTTTAATTATTATCTGTGAAATTAATTCTGTATATATATAATAAAATATTATAGAAATTAAATTGAAATTTTCAATGAATAATATAGTTAGCATAAAGATGCGTATTTGTATGAATAATACTGACATTGTAAAGGAGTAACTCATTACATTCGAAGAGCACAAAACATTAAGAAATTTATTTAAAAACAAACTCAAAAATATTTGCATTTTTCTCTAATACAATTTTTATTCCATTGTAAAGAATTTAAAAAAAATTGCATACTTCACGGATCTGCATATTTCACAAAGTAAAAAATTAGAAAAAATAAAATTATACTTTAAAAGTGATTTAATTTGCAAAAATTTTAATATTTATAATAATTTTGTTTAGCGATTAAATTTCTAAATATTAAAATTATTATAAATTTATAATAACTCCATACTTAAAAATTAAAGTGATTTCAAACGGTTCATGTAAAATTTTGTTAGTTAAATGGTATAAATATAATTGAAATATGACAATATAAAATATAAAAATTATGTTCTGAAAATGAATATTAGTTGCTAAAAATTAATCATTAGCATGCGTTAAAAACCGTATACATTTTATTATATTCTAAAATAGTCTAAATTTTTATATATTTATGAATATATTGAGTGTCGAATACTTATTGTAGATAATATAATAATATAAAAAATAAGCAAGAATCTAATTAAAATTAAATTTTATTATATATCATCATTTATAATTTAAAAAATGAACGAAAATTAATTAATTTTTATTAAATATTTTCAAATTGAAAAAAAAAAAACACATCCAACCAATTACAAAAGCTCTAATATAACAGTTCATATCAAATTTCACGCAATCATTAAACCATACATAAAAGTTCTTTGTTTCGGAAAATTTATTGAAAATTATATAACATTCATACATTTATTGAAAAATCTTCATATATACGCATATAGCATTTCCTTATATAATATTCATCTTATATATTCAATATATTAAAAATATATATATACATAAATATTTTTTGCTTTAATTTCACCAAAATATATTTCAAGAGAGTGTTCATACTATTTTGTTATTATATCTTAAAAATTTATCTATTTTTAAAATAAAACACCTTTTATTCCAGGTAAATTAAAATTTAAGTTCATATTATTCAATTTAAATTTAGCTCACAAAAAAACGAAAAAAAAAAAAATAAAACTTTTATATTACTCATTTTGGTTTTTTATTTTTTGTATTATTTTAATTATAATTTTAAAATAATTATTATTAAAATATAACCATTATTATAATATAATATATATATGTAAAATATATAGTAAACACACACGCATATATTATACCCACCTTATTACAAAAATTTAAAAAAAAAACTTAATTATTTCGTTTTTAAAATAAAAAATTTAAAGAATAAAAAAAAATTCTTTAGCTAAAATCGAAAAAAAAATTTTTTTTTTGTTTTTTTTTTATTTTTGATTTCGCACTTAAGATAACTACAACTACCCGCTTCAGAACGAATACTAAAACTTTTGTGAAAATTTATTTTCCAATTGGAAATATGAAAATCTCACAGATCAGGGAATTTTTTCTTTGTTTTTTAATTTTGTTATATTGTAATTTTTTATTATGATTTTTTCTTTTGTTCTTCTTCATCATAATGTACATATATCCATTTCGCAATATATACACACTTTTGTACACGTATTTTTTTTATAAGAAAATATTTGTATATTTATATAATTAATTTTATATATGTATGTGTACATTGTTTCATTATACAAATACATAATTATATATGAATGCTATTTAAAAATTTTGAAAATTTTTTGCGAATATTCTAGCTATTAATTATGTTCGATTCATAAAAAAAATAGGATCAATTTAGATTTTCAATTGGTCATATAATAATCTATATATATATTATTATATATATTAAGTTTTCAAAAACAGGAAGATAATGTGGTAGACATTCATATATATATGTATCATATAATTGCGAGCAAAGGTTAATGGTCTTCCATACTTATCATTAAAATATATGAAAGAAATATCACCTAATTTCCATGATTTATTTTGAAAAACACTGAAATAAACAGTCAGTTGAAAAAAAATTAAGTATATATATATAAAAATTTTGTAGGTCGAAACTAACTTGAAAATCGTATTAATTTTTGTCATAATTCTCATAAAATTTTCATCTCATAATTCTTAATATAAAATATCATTAATGTTTATATTTCTGTCACCCTACCAAAATTTGAAGCTTCAACAAATAATTGAAAAATTAATTTGAATTTTCATTTTGGAAATAATTGGAAGAATTAAGTAGGAAGAAAATTTAAAAAGTGAAATTTCTAAATAAATTTATTTACAAAAAGTTTCCTTTAATTTTATAAAATTTTAAGATTCCACTTACACATTAAGAAATTCTAACCATAAATTCTATCGAAATCTAATTCTTTCGAAATTACTCCGCTTTTGAAAAAAAAATATTTAATATTCATTTAATTATTACTTTAATTTTATAACCAAAATAAGTAATTAGACTTATAGTATTTTTCGTAAAATGATTTGGTCTTCATGCATCCAATATCATTAGATATCCAATTATAAACTTTGGATGAAAATTTCAACGTAAGTTTCCAATATTTACAAGAAAAAACTTATATGTTTATTCAAATATGAAAATGAGTGTCGAAAATATTTATAAAAATTTTCTCACATTTTTATATTAAAAAAAAATTTTGCATTTCTTCTTTTTCCATTTTAATGTTTTTTTTTTTTATTTTCTTGTGAAGGTGATATTATTGACTATCACTACTATACTGACTATTTATATACCTTATATTTCATTATTTAATTTTACGATTTTTTATTTTATTTTTTTTTTCTATTTTTTAAATTTTCATTCAAACTATTTGCGTTGAATTAACTTAAAAAAAGAAATATATATGTATGTACGAATAAAAAAAATTTTTAATGGAAAAAAAAAATACGTTGGCTTAGATGTCTCAATATATTATTTTTAAATTAGTATATCAAAAAAATATATGTATACTAGCAATACTAACAGTATAAGCTAGTCTACGTATAGTGGTATAGATAAAATAAATATATACGCATATACACACAAAATAAATACTATAATTAATAAAAATATTAAGAAAATTATTCCCTTTTCGAAAATTTAAGGATTCTTAAAATTGCTTTGATGAAAATATTCCACTATTTATCAATTTTAAAATATAAATCAGATTTACACATAATTTGGATTTAAAATATGAAAGCATTTTAGAAATTTTATTAAAAATATTAAAATATGTTAGGCTGTTAACTTCATTATCGAATTCAGGTTTTTCTATAATAATTTATCTTTAATAATCTTATACCAAATCCCAAAAATATTACGTGTAAATTAATGCAACTGTATTTGTAATACTCCATAGAAGTATTAATTTACTTAAAAAGTTCACTATCTATATGGTAATTTTCGTTAGCTCAGATGTACGACGGAAGTTCTTATTTAAATCTTAAAGTCTTAAAAATTTCCTTAAAACTTTAAGTACAATTATAATTTTCGAATAAGCTAATTTTGAAGATTTTGCAGTTTGGATTTATCGAACGTGCTTTATATTAAGACCTAAGTTAAAACTAAATTACCGAAATTCCATTATTTGTAAAACTAGCTTTTTTAACTGATATATACAAAACGTAAATTCTGTCTAATAAGAATTTTATTAGTTATAGTAGGACTTATGAGGAAGAACGTCTATTCCACATTTCAAAAATTTTGAAATAATTTAGAAAACAAACCCAAAACTAATTATTCTCTACTATATTCTTCACAAATATGGAAACTGTAAATTAAAAGAAAGATACTTTATTTTCCAAAATATGACAGTGCAATTACTTGTAGTATGAATTTGATATAGGTTTTTTCTATTAAATTCAAGGTATGTATGTTACAATATGATTGATAGAAAGCTTACCTCATAAGCCATCATTATATTGAGAAGTAAAATTTTCTATGCGATTTCTAAACAAGTAGTTTTGTGCAGATACTGCAGATTATTTTCCGTATTCAGAAATAATATATTTTTTTAGTCTCTTATTCAAAATTTGTTTAAATCCAAATTCTGAAAACAAATTACATTTTTAAACCAAAAATTACTATAAAATTTTCTGAATACTATGAAAACGAAAAACTGACAACGGACGCATATTCCAAAAACATTTTATATTTTTATTATAAATAAAAATTACATATTTTCTCCAAATTAAAATAATTATGTGTATAATTTAATATTATTTTATTATCATATAAAACAAATTACTTAACCATGTCATTAAATTCACTAGAATCGCAAAATAACATGAAAATTTTCAAAAACAAATCTAATAAATTTTATACATAATGTATACAATATACTTATATAAAAAAATCAAAAAAGGAAAAAATAAATTAATTTCTGATATTATAAACATTTATAAAAGTGAAATTTTTATTTTGGAATAATGAGTTCATTATAGTTAAATTTTCTTTTTAAATTTTTTTTCTTATAAGAACGTTTAACGTCATCAAAGGATATGACGCTGTAAAAAATATTTTGTATACACACACACAGTTTATTTTTATTTTGTAAATATTTATATATTTATTTTATTTTTTTTAATTTTATATTTTGTATTTTTATTTTTTTATACCAATATTTAACGTCACAATATTATGTTGTTCTTTTCTTCAAGAATAATTGATAAATTATAATTTTATCAAAATTATAATTAGACTTGAATCATTTGAATATGATTTCGCTAAATTTCAAATTAAAGCTAAATTCTAGCTCAATTTCAAATCTTAATTTGATTGAGTCAGTAAAGGTCTGTTCAAGTAAAGCAAGGGTCCTGTTCTTCTTCAATTTTATTAATTATAATGAAAAGATGTACATAATACAGAGCCATCAAGTATTCACTAACATCAAGTGTGTACCTTGAAAAATTAGAGGTATAGGATCTAATAAAAAACCATATTAAGTACATGAATTTTTGTATAAAAATAAATCCATATACATCATCTTCATTAATGGTCATAAAATTTAAAATTTTTTCATGTCTGACAATTTATAAAAATAAAAATATTTTGTACACAAATTTTATCGCGCTTTCGTGAATAATCGCTGTTTTACTTTGTCCGATGACTAAATATTTTGAATGAAAATACCCAATTAAACGGTTGACGCGATCACTGCCCACAAAATTGCTTAATTTTTTTTTATAATTGAAAATCTTATTTTGGTCAAATCGAATAATTTTTTAATAAAGAATTATTTATCATTTAAAAGACAATTTCAATGGCAATTAAAAGCGGTTTAGAGTAATGAAAAGTATCCTGACAATTGGCAAGCAACTGGCATTTATAAGTTGAATTTTGGATTAGTATAGTATTATTACAATTCCTATCTGAGGGGTACTTTTAAACTGAAAAACATGCAAATTGTGCTTAATTCTTTTTAAGCCTATTATTGACTTGCCTTCTTAATCGTTGATTCAACCATTTATTATAATTTTAAAGTGGTGCAATTATTAATTATTTTTTCTATTATAAATGTATCTTTTTAAACGTCGACTTGAAAAAATTTTCAAGATTAGGATTTACTTCTAAATTAAAACACAACTCATAACGTGAACCTTCCTTGAACTCTTATATAACCATACAAAACAATTTGGTTAAGATTGGAAAAAAAGCTTGCAATGAAATATAAACCTGTCCCGATCAAAATATAAAAAGCTGTGACACCTCAAGTGAAGAAATTAAATTAAGAGTCTAAATGCTGAATTTGATATTGAAATCCACGGAGCTCCCTTATGTAATTTCAGAAAAGATGAGCTCTTAAAACGTCAAACATCTGTAAAATAATTTCTTTTTGAAAAATTAATATGATTGACTTCGGATATAATTTTTTTATTTATAACATAATCATTGTTTCCATATTTTAGCGTTAATAATAGTTTGTTTTAAGTACTTAATGGATTAGACCGAGTATTGGTCTAATGATACAACTATGCCGTGTCTTCAACCTTTAAGGTAGTGTGGAGAAGAGTACAAGTCAATAACTTGATAGAAAAGGGTTAAAATAAAGTTGAGTCAAACCAATGGTTTGTACTGTACCACTTTTCCTTCAACAGGTGAAAATACTGCTCTTAAAAACAATCTATGTATAACCACTACATTATTAAAATTATTTTCATTCATATACGAAACTATTGTTAGGATTGCATATATTTAGGATAACCGATTTATGCAGTCTTTGAAATAAAGAAGAAATAAATTTAAAGAGTGATTAACATAATGCCCGATTTCCAGAGTTAATTTTGTGAGTTAAGAAAAATAATTATATTTTTTAATGTCATCGAATTTACCGTTAGCTTTTTGCGTTTATGGAAATTTGAAAAAGCTTGCGGTTTCGGAAATATAAGACGTCAAAAATTCAAATTTTACAAATTTCAAGAGGCAACAACTTGAGAAGGGGTGGAGATGAGAAAAAATATTCTTCTACTGAAACGAACTATTTATTAGTGTCTAAAAGCTGGTAAAATTTCAAACTTGCAAAATTTGAAAAATGCTTATGGTTTCACTGCAATAAATAGTTAAAAAAAGAGCATTTTTAAAGCTTTGTAGTGGTATAACTTGTAGAGGGTGAGGGGGAGATAGGTAAAAATTTTGTTCTACGGAAATAAATTTCTAGTAAAAATCCGTGTATATATGAAATTTTAGCTTTCTATCTTCAAGAGTGTAAACATGTCCACGGACGGACGTACAGAGTAAAACTAATAAGCACTTTTTTTCAAAAAATTTTTAGAAAAGTGCTAAAAACGAAAAATTAGAAACTTCCAATTTTTAACGCAAAATTTTAATAATCATCAGTGATATAGTGTTCCTACATGTATTTAGGAAAACGACATGTGCTACATAACCCTGCTACAGTGTATATATTAGTATAACAATTTTAAAAAAAAGGGTTTTGTCTTCGCAATATTTTCAAAAATTGTTGTTGTCATTGCTATTTTTTGTATAATAATTTGTATGCTATATATGTAATATGTAAATGATGTACATACATACTTGCATACAAGCATTAGACATATTCTGCTATGCTTGTATGTAATAAAGAAAAATTTGTAAAATTTTTAGTTTCCATAAAATCATTTCTTAAATTCAAATGTCGCCAACGAAGTTCTGAGAGTATTTTATTTTAATTTTTATGAAAAATTAATTTAAAAATAAAAACAAGTTAAAGGAATCAATTAATAAACTTCACATGAAATTACGCTGCAAACTCTTACACAAACCGTGTACAATAATAATTTTTAGCATATGGCTCGTCGCTACACCCTGTTTCAACATAAAGAACAATATTTATTATATTTATTTCATGTATGTACGTATGAAATAACTGCAATAAAATAAAAATTACTTATATTTAATTTTATATTATATTACAATTTGTTTTACATAAGAAATTATTAAAATTTTATATTATGATTTTCTTTGCTTTCTTTTCATATGAGTAACTTTTGTGCCGTTAACATTAAGAACGTAACCATATTCAAATGTCGTATCATCGGTAAAATCAAGTAATTCTTGAGAATCTGATGAAAAACTTCTCTCACTTATTGTATTATTGAATAAATCGGCACATCTTTCAAAAGTTGTTAAAACATTTCTTGAAGGATAATTATGCCTTTGTGTTACATAACAATATGTCGCTTGTTTACACACCAATCCTCCACAATGCAATAAATTATCTACAACAGAAACAAAATGTTTTCCTATTAAATACTATTTTGAAAGCTAAAGATTTTATTCAAACCTTGATCTCTGTATATTCTAATGCCATTTAAATCAACTTCATCAGTTAATGGAAACCATGAAGCCATCATAAAACATTGTTGAATAGTTATAAATAAAATTACGATCAGAAAGACAGTATAGCATTTGGGTATCATATTTTATTTTTATATTACCTGAAAATATATAAAAGCAATATAATAAATTAACCAAAACAGTTTATTGTAAATAATATCAAAAGATTTTTAATTAAAAACACTAAACAAACATTTTTATTTCTTAAAAATTTTTATACCATCAATATTTTAATTAAATTTTGTAGCTGAAAATATGAAATTTAAAATATTTTAGTTAAAATTTTCATATAATAATAATTAGAAATTGCGCAGTTTTGAATCAAATCCGGAAAGGGTTAAATTTCATTCCAATTTTTTAATTCATGCAGTAAAATTCCACTTTTGACATCACTTTTATAACAAAATATTTTTTTCAATTCAATACGAATTGTTATCAATACTTTTTACAACATTTTGTCAAAAATTTGTTTCAATTTCAAATGATTTAAAAGTTCATGAGTTTTTTTTTATTGTTTTCTTAATCTGAATTTTTAATAATAATGACCTTAACCTAATTTTAAATGTAATCCCCAGATTTTAAATAACACTTTCTATATATAAGTTACTTGCATTTTAGCATATACTTACTTATTCTTCTGATTTATCAATTAAAAATTATTTCTAATTTATCCAAAAATACTTATGAGAAAAAAAATTATAATATTATTGTAAAAATATTTATATGAAAAATAACAAAATCTTTGCAATATAGCTATTTAAAATGTAAAAAAAAATATATTTTATAATTAATGAAATTCGTTTAAATAAGGTCTTGTCATATCTCAAATTCTTTTGTTACTGATCTTCAAAAAAAAATTTTATATAAAATGAGATTTTTATTATCAGTTTTATTATTGTGCTCTAATAAATGAATTATAAATTGAGTTTAACATTTTATATTACTAGAATTTTAAGTAAAATTCATACATTTTATATAAAATATACTAAAGCATTCGAAATAGCGGAAACATTTTGCTATAATTTTATAGTATGATAGAACAAAATAAACAAAAATAGGTATAATATTTTGGAACAGTCCATTTTAAATTATTTTTAAGCAGATACAAGATGATGTTTATGCCATATATTTTAAATATATTATTCATTATATTCGTATATTCATTTGTAATTTCATCCTATCAATCGAACGAACATTGGTATGATACAGAAAGTGTTCGTTTGATATAGAAAGTGTGTACAGGTATTAAGAAAGATTTGACAAATAAAACTACTGCAGCTAGTTTCTAACCCGCTAGTTTATAACCAAGTAAAACAGAAAACTTTTTATATACAATTGACCATAATTTTAAATAAATATGCGTACATATTATATACGAATTACATTAATATGATGTATTATATATTTATAAGATCTAAATTTAATTAATTGTATTTAGAAGTTCACTTACTCCATGACTTACGTATAATATATGAAGTGTTCCGATTATCAATATAAAATTTGTATAAAAAAACAATATTGTTTCTTTATGTTGTATATACACATAAACGTAAGTATGTAGCTTTTTAAAATTTAAAAAAAAAATTCAAAAACTCATAAATGAATATTTTTGATAATGAAATTTTTAAATTTTTTTTTCTTTTAATCATATTATGTTTCCAATTAATTTAATTAAGGTTAAACTTAATTAAAATACTAAAACATATTGTATTTTTGTTCTTATATATTTAAATTACTTAAAATTTTTTCCAAAGTAATAGTGAAAATGTTCGAATTCTATTATTCCTAATCCAGTTTAATCATATAGAATAAGAATAATTATTTTGTGACAAATACTAACCGTATGGCGTAATTAAAAGCCATACAAAATTAATTTTTCATTAAAATTATTGAGTAAAAATTAAAGAAAATGGACAGTGTACTTGAAGATTTCACATAAATTTATTGAAGACCACTCAAATGAATAGTTGATTTTAAAACATTTTTAAATATTCCTTTTACACAAAATGCTTATACATACATATGATATATTATACATATTGATATTATTATTGCAATAAGCATAATAAAGTATTGAATTAATATAAGACACTCTTTCATACAAGGCAAGATTTTCAAAGAACTCTATACATAAATATTGTAATAACATTAAAAGTTTTCCTTATTTACCCTTAAAAACTTATAAATAGGAAAAAAATTGATCAAATCACTTAATTTCTTTGAATAGAAAGGGACAACATATAAAAATAAAAAAAAACAAATATTTTTATTTTTCATTGTTTTGTCATAAGATTATTTTTACAATATAAAGCTCAAAACAAATTTCACCTTCCAGGTAAATTACAAAAATTAACATTATAAATTTTAATTTAAATTTTTGGTTTTATTAAAAATAAACTTAATTATTTTACCACGTAAAGAGCCATTAATTAACGTGCCATGCAAATTAACAAAGTAGTTACCAACATTGAAAGGGATGAAATAATCTGGAATTAATATAAAAATAATTTATATTTATGCATCTGCGGTAACACCATATTTATGTAAACTACACTGAATTTACATGCATTTCATTTAAAATGTACGAATGCATACAGTTTTGAATTATTTAAATTCAATGCATTATAGAATTTCAATGCTTAATATTATTATTCAATACTTAACTAACCTTTCCGTTAGATGTCGCTTCAGATCGATAAACACTGTTCATATTATTGTTATAATTATTATTATTATTATTGGGTAAAAGATGTGGAGGGAAATTTGAAAAAGCATTATTTATTTGATCTTGTACTTGTTCTCCTATTATACGTGATTGTTCTTCAGCTTGTCTAGCATATGCTGGTCCAAAATATAATTCAACATCGTCTCCAAAAGAGGATCCAGAATATGATTTTTGATCAATTATTCTGCCATTTAAATCGGCACATTTCTCATGAATATTTGAGCCATGTTTTATTATTTCACAATTAACAGCATTAATACATATTAAACTTCCACAAAAAAGTTGATTTGCTGAAAAGAAGCAAAAAAATATTTATTTAATTAATTTGCAATTAAAAAAAAATAATAATTTAATATCGTAATTTTTTATTTGAATTTTTTGAAAATATTTACGTTCTTGACGAATTGAAAATCCATTAGAATTAACATTACTCCATACTCCACCAGCTGAATATGATCTAGATAATGCACTCGCGGAATCATAATTAATTATTGCAAATAATGCACAAACTAGTATAAACTTATTTGACATTCTGAATTAATAATCTGAAATTAAAAAAATTATAAATTTGTTATTAGTTAATGCAATATTCGCATTATAAAAATGAAATCTTTCCCTTTTTTATTCTTGTAACAGTTTTCAATTTTGAAAGTGTATGTATAAATTGAACTTAAGTTATATTTTGTAAACGATCTATTATAACAAATTTCACATACGATTGCAATAAATTTGTATTAGAGCATAAAGAAAAAATTTATAGCTTTGTACTTTTTATTATTTGAATAGTAGTTAACCGAAACTGACACGGTATGCCATATCGAATTTACCGCATTGCCGGTGCGGTACTTCAATCCGAAGTTGTGCCGCGCGATTTTATATATTTAAAAGCAGCCTTGGAATTGAAATTTCAAATTCGGTATGTTTATCGCATGAGAATTTCAGTTGTTCACATTTTAACAAATAGAAATAATTTTTCTTTTTCAACCGCGTGACGCATACTGCATTAATTGAGGTTATTAACTACTATAAAACAGATCTTTTAAGAAATAAACAAAAACTTAATTACACTGTTTTTCCAAACTTTTTTTATAATTAAAATAGAAAATCCTATAAATGATTTTTATTGCTTTTCATTGTATTTATTACATCTTATATGTACCTGCACACTATTACATAAACTTGCATATTTATTAAAATTATATAGCACTGCTTACATTAAACAATGTGAATTTTAAAAAAAAAAACTTAATAAACTTTTAAAAAAAAAAATAACTTGAAATTATAAACAGGTATTTATATAGTTTTCGGTTATAATTATCACTAAAAAATAAACAGACTTACATATACATTTTATAGATGTTTACACAATTGTATTTAAATACTCCACCAGAAATGGTACAGTATACAAGAAAAGAAATGCATTTCTAAAATAAAGCTTTTACAATGAAAACTAAATTAACAATAAAACGCTAAATGTTAAAATTATATTCAACTTTTAGACGATTCAAAAGTAAAAGTTAGATGTACTTTATACGTATAAAATTTATTTTATAAATATATTGTAATGCCGTTCATCAGTTTTATAAATTAAATTTTTATCCACGGTCCTGTTCAATTGGTCTTAAAATATAAGATACCTACTTACATATATAAAACAATTATTCACATACCTAACTAAATAATTGAATTTTTGAATAAATTAAAAATTAAAAGTAAAAATTAAAATTAAGATTATTAAAAATATATTTTATAAATTAATATTTAAAAGTGCCAACTAAATTTTCCTAAATTTAAAAAAGAATATTTCCTATTATGAAAATGTATAACAGATTTTATTTATTAACGCACATTACAATCAGATAAATGGAACCTGTTATATAACAGTCGATCTTTTGCATATATGATACATACTTTGTTTCATGTTTATTTGAAGATAAAAACAATACACCTTTTATGTTACCGATTCTTAAAAATTTTTAATTTACTCATGCGTAAAAAGTTATCTCACTAAATCTGTTTTCATTTTAGAACGTTTACATCCGTTCCCCACATTTATAAAAATACTTATAGCACCTTTAGAACATAGTGCTTTGAAAAAAATATCAATATACTTATAATAATATATATACATATATAATAAAAACATTTTAATATAAATAATTATTTCAAAATCACTGGAAAGCGAAGGCTTACTAATTCGAGTCGAAATCATGTTCAATCACAAAATTAACAATGTAATTCCAAAATTTATTTATTTTCTGCCATACCAAATAACAAAATTGCAAATTATGCATACACGCAAATTGTAATATTGTAAATAACTATTATATTTAATTCTGTTATACTAACTGAAATAAGAAAGATATTTTTTTAAATTTACAATTCTGAACGATACATACTTTTCTCAATTATATTGAATTTAAAAACCTTGATATATTTCTTTTAATATTAAGAGTCTCTTGACTTACAAGTTCACTCGAACAATAACAGTAACCAACTAACGATGTACTAAAAAAAAGCTTTAGTATATAAACGTAGAAGCTTTTTAGTTTTCTGTTACCAAAAATGTATTAGTAAATTCTAAAGAATTGTAATAAATGTTTGCTAAATGAAACATTTATAATTACATGCAATCATCATTTTCTTATCTATATATTGATCACTTTTTGAAACATACTGTGCAAATATATTTTTATTTATTAAAATAAATAGTATACACCGGAAACATAATTTTCGTAAACCCTTTTATTTATTTTCTCATTCTTAACAAACTTTCATTTCTTTTAACCTTTGTGGACATCTTACGTTACATCTTCCATTCTATATTTCTTTTATACATATACACACGCATCAATAAAATATACTTCTTTTTATACTCGTATAAATTTTCGCCCACATAGTATATCAGAATTTTTTTATTGTATTACTAACTACCCTTCTTTGATTTTAATATAATAATGTTACGAATTACTCAACTAGTACGATTCTTTTTTTGTTTTCAAAGTTTCAAATTAAATTGTTTTGATTTTTAAGCACACATGAAAGTCAAAGTCATATAAAAAATTTTTGTAACCGGTTTTCAAAAAATTAAGCACTGTATACAAACGCTTACATACATACATACATTAATATAGCAGAACATATATTTGGTATACAATGCTTACGAAGGTGACAAATTAAATCTAATGTTTTTGTCGATCGGATCTTCTCAACTGGTATTTATTTTTATTTATAAACAGAAAATAATTATTTATTCAGAAATGAATCATTAAAGTTTATAATATTTCCTTTTAGCACATATACATATTTCTAAATATATTGACAAGAAATTTGCTTATTAGGGTCATTTTATCTGCCCGTCTAACGATTTGACCAGCTGCTTCTAGAACTGTTCAAAGTAAGGGGATTAAATTTTATAATTTATTAAGATTATCTATTTAATAATTACTCCTAAATCTATGCAAAATTATGTGAAAACAAAAATATTTTTTCAAAGAACCTTTTCTGGTTTTTAAATCTTTACCACATACAATTTGTAAATTCAAATTGTTAGAGAGAAATGTGCTATTTTACAGAACATAGTATTAAATAAACTAGTTTTGTTTTTTATATTTTTTATGAACATTAGGTTTTGTAGTAATATAATTAACTTTTACATTATAAAGGCAGTTGCATATGTGTGTAAGAATGTAATTGTATTTATCTATTAGTAACAAATAATTTTAACATATTTAAAACAAAAGCTTCCTCTAGTCATATTTTGTTTTGTATTACAAAAATGCTGAAAACTACGACTTAGAACAATAATTTTTTTTACACTTATGTAAGTGATCACTATTGGATAAACCAAAATAATATGTAGTATCAGAAGTAACTTTGAATTCTTGCAAATTACAGTTTATTTAAAATTGTTTATGAATTCGTAATAAAAAAAGCCTAATACACCTACAAACATATACAAATATATTTGATTTAGAATATATAGACTGAGTCAAAAATACATACATTTGCACCTTTAGTCTAAATTTAATATTTTAGTATAAATTTAAAATAATTTTTAATAAACAAAAAGTGAGATAATTTACTTTTGTGATGTTAATAACCTATTTCATTACTTATTTTGTGTTGATTATTTTAACCACTAAAATACGAATTTTTCAAAAAAAAAAACGCATATCAAATAATTTGTTTTTATATTTTTTGAAATTGTTTATAGGCTGTGACTCATACTTCAAAACTACACACAAATATATTTAATTCTAAGTTCAGCTTTTATGTTTGTATGTATTGTATAAATATCACAAATGGGAGAATTCCTATGATGAAATTCGTATGTATGATGAAATTTTTTCAATGCATAAATTATAATTATATTTGCTAATTAAAATTTCATGTGAAAATAAAAATCGGATTTCCCTAAAGCTATTTAAGCTAAGACATCTAAGCAAAGCAACGTAAAGCGCATTAATTTTAATTGAATAATAAAAAAACATGTATGTATAAGTGTCTGATTATTTAATTCAATTATAAAATTTACAAGCTTTCTTTACACAATAAGAAATCATTATCCTACACTTATTTCAAAAAATAGATTCACTCACATTTAAGTAGACAAATTTCGACTCATTTTATTGCATAGGTGCATAAGAATTTGATATTTATAAATCAATAACACTTAAATTTCTTGTATACCATATATGAATTGTACATTTAATAAACATTTAAAATGCAATTTGTATCCGAAATACTTTTACATTAAAAATAAGAACTAAAATTTAAAATAACAAAATATACAAATCTTTTCATTAAGATCCATAAATTTGAGGTTTTATATTTGAAGGAGTGAATATTGTTTGTAAAATTTTAAACTTAAATTTTCCTATATTTTTGAAAATATTCCCCAAAAACATCTCATTTACTTTATTTAGTGGGTTTTTAATTGTATAAATTCTAATTAATTGTATTTTATATTAAAATATTTATTCCAAATTTTTTATTAACAAAAATTCAGTTGAATAATTTTTATTTAATAACTTAATTGTATTTAATTTTTATTTTACAACTAAATTTTAGTTTAATAACTTAATTGCATAGCTATACCACCATATACAGAGGGCATTTATTGATACCCAGAGCGATTTCAACTACTTCTTTAACTTTAGTAAAATTAGTTCTTAAGATTAGTTTGTAGATTTTAATTTCTTATACACAATTTTATACAAATTATATAAATTAAATAAATTATTCTTATTAATCACATTTTCCCATACCTTTTTTATTGCCTTCAATTTAAAAAAACTTTCAATATTATTTATTTTAAAGCATATAATATGAACTTAAATTTATTAAAAAAAAAAGTATTTATATGTACACAATTAGAGTAAAATATGGAAAATATAATACAATCGATTTCATCCGAAAAGAAATGTCTTTGACTCTTATTTTTATTATTATAAATATTAAATCTTGAACAAAAAATCACGTAATTATTATTCGATAAATATTTAAATAAATTCATAATGTCTAACTAAAAAAATTTTCACTAATTTTTTTTAAACATTTACGTTTAATTATTTTTTTTTAATTTATTGTATAAAAGATAATAAATTATATATTTTAATAATCATTTAAGAAATTCATAGCCATGCATTAGTGCATTATTGCTTTACTTATAATTAAATACATTTTCAATTAAAATATTGCACATGTCATGTTTTGTAGTGCCTCACATATATTAGATTCAATTAAAATATGTTTCTTAAAGGACAAATCTAATTTTTAACATTTTTGTTTTTCCATTATAAAGCCCAGTCTCATCATTTAAACTACAAGATTGTGTTGTATCGATTATAAAACTGCTACCAAAAATGCAATTAATATTAAAAAATATGAAATCACCTAAAACAAATAAGAAAATAAATTTCCATTAAAATCCACACACTAATAATTTACAATTTTTCTAATTTTTATACATACTTTTTTATTAGGTGCAACATTTTTATGGCTTGTACTATTAAAATCATTAAAATTGTGTGTACGTTCAATTAAAATTTGGGATACGGCGTTTTCTACTTGAGCTTTATATGCAGGACCAAAATATATTTCAACATCACTTTCATTTATATTACTTTTATATGATTTCTGATCTATTATCTTTAAATTACGATTAATGCACTTCTCATTTATTATTAAATCATATTTAGTAATTTCACAATTGACTGCATCATCAATACATATCAAACTTCCACAAATAAGTTTATCAGCTGCATATTGAAAATAAATATTTAATTTAATTTTACATATTTTTTTAAAATTATTTTAAATCATTTTTTCATACTTACTTTCTTTATATACTTTAAATTCATTTGTTTTTATTATATTAAAGAATCCACCAACAGAATAAAATTTAGTTATCCCTTTCACTGTACTATAGTGAAAAAATATTAAAAAAAATCCGAATAATTTTGTGTATGATAACATGATCGAGTCCATATGTTTACTAGATTCACATTAACTTAAAAACCTATAAAAACAAATGTAAAAATAATTTTATAATTTTTTGAACAATTAATAAATAAGTAAAAATTCACATAACTTTATATAATTTCTAATACATACTTAAGAAATTTTGGAATATTAATAAAATATTAAAAATTAAAATTATTCTAATGTATTTACTAATTACACTACCGTACATAATTCCCATTCAGCACACGTTGTTATCAACATTTTAATTCAAATTCAAGTCACGTTGTTTATAAACATTGTATATATTTTCTACAACAATACAAAACGCTGCATAGCAACATTTTTAATATTAATCTTACTACAAATTTAAAAATATCGTGTTTTTTTCAGAATTATATATATATATATACCTGTTAGTTAATTTTAATTAAAATTGTTTCATTTGATTTTTAAGATCAACTTCATTATTGCGAAAAAATTATTGAGTTTTACTTCAATTTCCAATTTTTCCAAATATTTTCTAGACATTTTTCAAATAAAATATTAAAAGTTTTGTTAATCAATATAGAGCAAATTTGAAAATCAATGGTGAGTAATATTAAATTAATAATTCTGGTGGTTTTGTATATTATTTGTATTCTTGAAAGAAAATTGTGTATTTTTTTTCCTGATATAATATTAAAAGTTTATTTGTATTTACTTACTCCGTATTATATTGAACTGAGCAAAGCCGTTTCAGAGACTATGCATGATAACAAAATTTATCGAAAATAAAAATGTAAACATGAAAAAGAGAAAAAAATTCAAAAAATAAAAGCACAAAAATTCCAAAAACATCATTACATCTGACTCAATTTTTCCAGACTTCTTTGAAGTAAACAAACTCATACTTGAAAACATTCATCATGCACACATAAATATTTATATTTTCTTTGTATAAAAACATAAATACATATGTACATAATTTTTGTTTTAGTATAACATTTAATCATAAAATATTTATTAAGTTATAATTGAACAACGAAACCGGAATGGATCATGTTCTTTTTACATAACATAAATTTTGTGTAATTTCCGTTTAAAGTCCTTAAATTTTCTTTATAATTCCTGATTCATGATCGTCTAATAGTTATTATGTTGTTTCGTTTTGTTATTCAAATTATTTCGTTTTGTTATTCAAAATAAATATTATTCTTGAAGTGAACTACATTGTGTTTTTGGTGGCCAATTTGTCCTATATTCTAAAGAGTATTAGTCGCTTCACAATTATCTAGCACTTTTATAAAATGGAATAGCAATATATTGGTCAAATATTAATTTTATATTTGGAAAAGTCTAAATAAAATTAACTATGCATATAATAATAAAATTTTGTTTAAATAATAAAACTCAACTTATTTATTTACTATGGAAATATTAACACAACAGACTGTAATGAATTTTTGATTTTGTATACAGAATAACAAAAAATAAAAAATCGATTTTCTTAGTTTCTTATTGTTACTTTTCGATATGCCAATTCGATTCTGCTTGATACAGGAACTCTACTCGATGCTGACTCTATCAATTCCATTTCATTTAAAATGTTATCCACATTATTTATGCACATGTACACTACTTTAACTTTTATTTCTGATATTGAATTTTTTGTAATTAAACATTTTTCGGCATCTATCGGACATCTCAATAAATTACATTGAATGTAATCTAAAAATCAATGGGATAATGAATATAAAGCCAATACCTTTAAACCCTTTGAAGGCTTTATAGAGATTTATAAACTTACCACCCAATTTAGTTATAATTATTTGTTTTCCATTTGACCAATAATAATTAGTTTTTGATGTTATAAGTACGTTTTCAACATTTGAAATTTTACTAAAAATCTGAAATTCTGATGGTAAATTTTGATTTGAATATTTTTCACTTGTATTTTGGTTTGATTTTATTGTCATAATTTCCACATCTTTATTGTAATTATCATCCGGATACTTTTTTATATTAATTGCTGTATTATAACAATATGGAATGAAACAATTTAAAATTAATAGAACAATTCTTGTTTTTGAAATCATAGCTTGTGGTTTTTTTTTAATAAAACTTTAAAAAAGCAAAACTTTTGAAACTTTGTTTGATCAATAATTTTTTAATTTCGCTTAGTTATAAACAGTCATTCAAAAAAAAAATTTTATTTGTATCAAACTCTTAATTGTTGTAATATATATTTATATATCTAGTGAATACAAGTGCCATCTATTGCTAAATAGAAATACGAAGAAAAACAAACAAACTTTAAATGTCATCAAATATAATTATAAATTTATTTAAGTACTCAAGAATATAATTCTATAAATCAATTTTTAAATAAGAATTTTGAAAAAATATAATTGTAAAATTTAGAATACAATAAATTAATGATTAATATTACAAGAAAAAGATTTACATATCTATATGTACGTACGTATTTTCTTATTTTATATTGTAGGAATTCTTGGTCTAGTTCCTAGGAAAACTGGAAGATTTTGAATGTTCCTATTAATATTCTCTTTTATAATTGCAGTTTGTTGTCGTGCACGAGCATTATATTGTGGACCTACACCTGTTTCAGAATCAACTAGACTACCAGATGGATTATCATGCCTATATGTGTTTTGATCAAGAATAGATCCATAAAAATCAGAGCAAATTTCATTAATTTCAATTATTTTTGCATTTTTAGGGTCATTTTTTGATGTAACTTTGCAATTAACTGCACTTTTAGGGCAAATCAACATTCCACAATAAATAGTCCCGCCTAAATGTAAAAAATAATAAGAAATACAAACATATTTTTTGGGTTTCAGTTATGCATAATTACCAATAGTTTTTACAACAGTTCCACCAGACACACTAACGCTATTCGATTTGCATGCATCACTTATATCCAATATTACAGTCAAACCAAATAAAATAATCAAATACGTTATTTTCATCTATAATTAATAATAATCGTTGAAATTAAAATATAGGTATGTATGTATAAGTATGTATAATTGCCAACCTTATTTTAAAATTTATAAATAACTTAAAAATATTAATTTCTGATATTATCTTAATAAAAAGTTACGCGTATACAATAACAAATTTTTAATTCAAAAAAAATATTGACTAACTTTTTGTATACTTAAAAGTAAACTAAACTCAAATAATAATGATTTTTCTTTATTTTGCGAATTTTATCCCCTATTTAACACACTCGTACGTACATACATGTGAAAATAAGTAAGGTATGAATTTAAAAATGCAACAACCTACTTTTGAATTTCGAAAAATTAAACAAATCTAATTTAATTTTATGTGTTATACATTTTAGATGGAGTGTACGGCAAACCACAAAACCAACATATGAACATGATTGTTTTAAATAAAATATCTATTTAAAATTTCTTATTTAAAAATATCACAACTAGTAATTTTGAAATGAATTCTTTTCAAAAGGAGCAGCTATTAAAGAAACCCAACCATTAAACTAAGCTTTAAGAATCACAAATTTTTAAACATTGGATCACAATTGTTATATATTTGAGGAACATAAACTTTTTGAATTTAAGTTGTCAGACAGTTTTCATATTAACAATTTGAAAAAAAAATAATTCCTGGAAAATCGCAAAGTTGCAAATTTTAATAGGAAAGTTTTCGTTTTAATATAGTTACCTCGCATTTTTTATAATTTTTTTTTAATATTATACAAAAAAAAATTTTGTAATCAATATATTGCAGTAAAAACTTCAAACTGCCTCTCGTTATAACAAGCTCGAACTCTTCAAAGATCAGTTAAGATTCTTAAGTTTTACATTCAATAAATGTGTAGAGCATCTATATTATAATTAATGTCTATCTTAAAATAGTAAATCTTTTCAGACGAGATCACATAATGTAATCTAGAATTTAAAACACACAATTATGACGAGCGTACATAGAGGAAGCAAAACTATCTGGAAAAACCTTATAAAAAATTTATAAAATTTAAGCTTTTAAAACATTTAAAGGTCCCTTAATTGAAAAGTTACAAAAATATGTTTGGCATAGAATTTTTATAACAGAAAAAGTTAATCAGCCTCAAAATGAACAAATTAAATTTATAATTTAATTAATACTACTTTATGTAACATCTAAACCAACTATAATCAAAACTAGATAGAATCATTCGAATTAAAAATTCTATATTTTTATTTTATTTAAAAATTTTTATTAAAACCCATTTAGATTCGGTAAAATGAAAGTATGTATGTACTCGTATATGTATGAAATTTTTATTATTTAATTTTCATTCTTTAAATTTATTCAATTACAAAAATCTTCCATTTGACCATGCATTAAATATCGGATTATTATTTATATGTTCATCAATATGATTTTGAACTGTTTGTTGAATTAATTGTGCTTGTTGTCTAGCATGTTCTCTATATTTCGGTCCAATAGCATTTGTAATATTAACGGGCCGACCAGATGGATTATCTGTTTTAAAAGTTTTTTGATCAAGTACATTTTCATTAATATCGGAACATATTTCTTCTGTAACTACAATTTTTGAATTATTTGGATCATTTTTTGTTATTATTTCACAATTAACTGAATCTTTAGGACAAACAAGACTTCCACAATTAATAACACCATCTATAAAAATAATTAATATTATTTTAATTTTATTTTTGAAATATAATAATGTTAAAATTCTATTACTAATATTGTTTATGTTTGAAGTGTAAAATGGTAAATTTCCAGCATCAATATGAATGTTACAGCCATAAATAGATGCAGTAAGTGTAATAATTGTAAATAAAATTGAAAAGTAACCCATTTCCTGAAGAATTTTCACTGTATTCTCGACTACAAAGAAACAAGATATCTTTGATGAATTTTATAAATTCAAAAAAATTTATATTATTAAAAATTGTAAAATATATTTTTGAATACTGACAATAAAAAGTGTTTTTATTCTCTTCAAATTTAAAATTAATATTGTATTTCAAGAAATTTTAACGCTATTATTTGTTTTATTTCAAAAGTTGATTTTCCCCGATTGAAATATTAATTTACACTAAACAAATTTTTACTTTGTCTACAAATATATTATGTGTAATAATCAAACAATATTGATTATGTTATTTTTTAAACCGCTGTATAAATTTCGTTTTTCTGATAACAAAAGAAAAAAGTCCCGCAAAACATGTGATTCTATATATTATAATAGAAAAAAATGCAAAATATCTTCACAAATTACTGTTTTAAGGAAAAAATTGTGTCATTTTTCTAAACACTTTATTTATTTGCCTCTTTTTGCAAATACTCAATTCTGTTGGATACCTTAATATTCAAAAGATTTGATAATTGATTGCAACAATATATTAATGTTTTAATTTATTATCTGTTTGCAGTACTGATGTTACCATTTACAAAATACAGAATATTACTATTGTAAAGTATTACTGATTAAGTACTCATTGACATATCTAACAAACTGTAAATTTGTAGAGCAAAACTCTGGTAAAGCATAGCGAAATACTGTACGAGTACGAGAAAATTTATTGAATAATTTTTGATGCAAACATTTCAAAACTTACCTAATAAAAAATTTCATCATAATTTTTACCTATTTAAATAGTTAAGACATTTAATTTTAATTTAGATTTTAATATTTTTTTTAAATGAAGCAATGAAATATTTTACCAACTGAAATTATAAATAAAATTTTTGGGTCAAAAAAAATTTAACATAATTATAGGCGAATGTTTAATTTTGGAATTTATTTATTCGATATGTCTTGCTCTCTTATAAAAGAAATTATTTTTTTTTAATTTAAAATCGATCTATAATGTTGTATATCAATCAAATAATCAGTTTTGGTTAATTTCGTACAAGCTAGAGCGATTTTGTAATAGCAAAATAACCTGGAAAAAATTCGATTTTAAACATTTATGGAAAACATTCATTTAAATAAAATTGCTTCCCTCTATAACAATTTTAATTATGATAACAAAAATAGTTGATCTTAAACTGTTTATTTTGTTTTAGAAAAATTTGTAGAGCTTCTTACCCGTATTGTACTTCAAATTAAAAATTAAAATATTTTGACTATGCAAATATAATAATTTGCGGCTTTATTATTGATTATAAATACTTCATAAATAATATTATTAATAAGCCTGAAGAATACTTTGTATTTGGTATTACAAAAAAAATTTCAACTAATCATCCTTTGTGTACAGCTTAATGAATGATTGAGAATCATAAATCGAAATTCTGGGAAAAAATATTTTAATTAATTTTTTGATTAATGAGCGACACGATTGGGAATTAACCGCTCGCTAATTCTTTAAGTTTTTTTAGACAGTAATTTGTTTTTTCATCAGCTTAGCACATGCATTGTTCATCTAGATCTGCATCGTCAAAAATAAAATATAAATAATTATTTATGTTTAATTTTTTTTTAAAGAAGTTCAGAGAAATTTAATAACTGGCGTCAATTCTCTACTCTTCCTTTTAATTAATTCCAATAAATGCGATACGAATCAAATCTATTGCAATTTAATTATCAAATTATAAAGTGAAATCTTATTCTTAAAAAAACATAAAATATTTAATAAAAAATTACATACACCTTTTTACACCAATTTGAACAAATTTTTTATATGAATATTTAAAAAAATCATGTACATTATATTTTGAAATTTATCTCTTACAATAACAATAAAATATTTATAATATCTGCATAATTAAATATTTTGAAATAAATTTCTATTTTTGAAAGGGGAAACCAGGACCAAATGGATTAAAATTTGGAAAATTTTGGAATGCTTGATTTATTTGATTTTGAATTTGTTGTTGAATTTTTTGTGCTTCTGCTTGTGCCTTTTGTGCTTGTTCACGTGCATATGCTTCATATTCTGGACCAACACCACTTTCACTAGTAACTATATTACCAGATGGGTTACTTGTTTCATAACTATTTTGTTGAAGAATATTTCCTGATGCATCTGAACATAATTCTTTTGTAATAAGTATTCTTGCATTGTTTGGATCATTTTTTGCTGATACTCTACAATTAATAGAATTCCTTGGGCAAATTATTGATCCACAATATATTGTATCACCTATAAAAATAAAAATAGTAAATTTTAGTAAAAAATATAAAAAATTTAACTAAATTTTCATGATGACCAAAAAACGAAAATTTTGTATCAAAACTTTTGTTTTTTTACTTAATATTTAAATTGATAAGTAAAATTAATAATTAGATTTGATATTCCGTCATATAAACGTCATAGTTTAGTTGTTGCCAACTTAATAAATAATTTTAAAATTTGATGCCAATAATAGTTTAACATTTTTTTTCTTAATTTTAAATTCTCATTAATTTTATTACCAATTTGTTTGATAACTGATGATGATGATGATTGAGAATGGACCACATGTATGGCAAGAACTGTTGTCAGTGTAAATAAAATAGTTGAATAATACATTTTTAAAATATATTTTATTTTTAAAATATCTGCAAATAAAATAAAAATATAAAATATATTTTCATATGAGTACACACACATGTTTATTAAAATTAAATAAAAATAAAAAAAAATTAAATTAAAATAAAAAATAATTAAATTATTTCAAGTTAATTAAACATTATACATTTATATTACTATATGCTAAAATTGTTTATCAAAAATAATAACATTTAATGACTCACAATAAAATTACTTAATTCTGTAATGTTGCAGTTTTAAAAAAAGAAAATCGCTTTAAAAATTATTCAAAGTTATTAAAGAATGTTTTAAGATAAATTTTATATTATCAAGAATGTCTGAATAGTGTCTGATATAATAATAATTAATTAATAAACAACATTATATTAAATTCCGTATTTATACAAATAAATGTTGATCTAATTTAAAAAAAAGATTTCCTGGTTGTTTAATCATGTTATATTCCTTTGTAATCATTAATTCTTGCAGACCTCAAAAATTGTTCAGTCAAAATTTTTAAGTAATAAATAATGAATTGGCGCCTATAAACTAAAATATAAATTGTTATACAATTTAATATCAAAATAATTGTCGTGAAGCATTATAACACAAACAGATAACATTTATTCAATTTCGTTGTCGAATATTACAAACATAAATTCATTTTATTAATATATTAACAAAATTCGCCTTCATGAATTTTCTATTTCAATATTATTTCTCAGTATAAATTATATTTTATATATAATATGTACTTTATGCAAATATAAGTTATAGGTATTGTTTTGAAAACAATAAAATTTAGCAAAAAAATATTTAATCATCCCATTGTATTGTACTGTCACACTTTTTTAAATTTCGCCGGAATAATTAACATATATATATACTTATATATAAAATAACCATTAGTGACAGATGTATTATTGTATATATATAAACAGATATATGTAAACATTGAATACTTACATAAATTATATTATAACAAAATATATGTATACTAAAATAACACTCGTTTCAATATAAAAAAATTCGTAATTACCTACGTAAACATTTTATGGTTTTGTCTCTAAATTAATAAATCTTCTGAATGACGAATCTTTTTTTTTTTTATTAATATCATTGCAAGTCATTAACATACAAGTAAAACCACAAAGAAAGTATTAAAGTACAATAAAAGTTTAATTATTAATATACGCGAGAACAATTCTAATATGTAATAAAAATTATAATTAATTTCAACTCTTGTATTTTATATGCGGGATTTGGTATACAAAATTAAAAAAAACACTGATAATTTAATGTTAAGAGGTCAAACAAATTGTACATTTAAAAAAAAATAATTTTATGATATCTTTTACCTTTCTAAAAATATGAATTTTTAATTTATGTAAATTTTCGCAAAAACACAATAAGAAAATAAAAACTTTAAAGAACCTGAAAATATTTTCAACTGTTCTCCTCTTGAATCTTTAAATATTACTAAAACTTGCTGATAATTTACCTTTATTTTTTAACTCCTTTTAGAAATTTTTTTTTTCTTCAATATATTACTAAAGTTTTTATTTATTTTTTTTTTTGTATTTCTTATTATAATGTTGGTACACACAGCTGTTTTTGTTTAGTTTCTTGTTATTATTTTTATTTTGCACAGTCTCAGATCGAATATTTAAATATTATGAGTACATAATGAAAAATTCTTAATTTTCTTAACGATGATGCGTAAGAGATGTGACAGTTTTTTCTTCATAATAACTGGTAATAATATTCTAGATAATGATATTTTATTTATACATATAAAAATGCGCTCTAAAATATTTTTTATTTTACGGTGTACAATCTGTATAATGTTATATACATAATATCCACTTTTAAGAGTATATAACATATACCATGTGTTTAATTATAATTGGCTAAAATTGCTTGAATGAGTATTCCATAACTACTCTAGCAAAAATTTATAAAGTATGCAATTTTATATGCCAAAAGTGTGTAAGAATAAATAGCGAAATTTATGTTTGTTTACCATTATTTTATTTATAGTGTGTTTTACCAACAATTTGAAATTCAATATGTAGTTAAAATTTATTTTGTACTTTTTATGCAAATTTATTTTATGTTCATTACAATATTTCATTTTAAGTTTTCTCTACATAACTTTGAATTATAATTATCGAAGCAATTCAAAAAAAGTGTGCCTTTGTGACCATGTACTTAAACTCGACTTAAAACTGCAATATGATTTTGCAAATGTTTTTACCGAATTTTTTAATACTATTTCTTAATTTTTATTAAAATCAAAATTTCTTATTTCTTAAAAAACTAGTGATATTATTACTCACTAAACTATAGCACAATTTTACTTTTTAAAATTAATGCAGTCTAGAATTACATTTGTAAATCATATATCAATTCTAGTTATATAACAGTAATGCATTTGAAAGTTATGAGATTATTTATTTAAAACTCAACAAATATAGAGTAAATATAACAATTTTAAAGAGAAGAAATATACTAGTTTAAAAATAAAGATAAAATGAACTACATTCTTAAAATTTCT